TGTACATCACCAGCCGGCATATGCTAACCTCGGTCATACTTCACGGCATGCTGCGCCAGCAAATCCAGCATGAATATCCCACCCAGAGAGGCGGAAGATTACCGTATTATCGGCACCTCAGGGCGACTGTATCCCCCGGGGCTACCAGCCCGCAAGCTGGGTCGCACCCAGTCGTCGGTCGCCTCCCCAACTCCCCTGGCGCATAGAAAAACACATCTCTCCTGTTTTTCGGTAGAATAATACAAGATGTTGTTCTGTTTATATGTGTCTTAATACTTGTGGTTTGTTGCCGGGATATGGATATGACACCTGGGATTCAGCCTTAAGTTAACGGTAGGTATATTAAAGTGAGAGAGAGAGATAGGCCCAATAATGAATGGTTATCTGTTGTGCAGTTGATGACCAACTCAACGAGCCTTTTAGTCATGTTAGTAGCTGAGACAAGAATAGGGCTGGGGTAGTGGTAACTGCCCTGTCTGAACCATTGCCCCTCACCCCTTTGGAAAATTGGGCTTTTTTGAGGGGTGGTGTTGTCACAGAATATATATACATGGATGTGGTCCCCAAGTGTGGACTAAGACCTATCTCAAGGCCGGTTTATACTTGGTGCAAAAGCAAACACAAACTCGAATTTGTGACGTCAGATTGAAATATTCCCGCTACGTATTCAAAATTATGCTTGAAACATTTCAACTCCAGCGAAAGATTGCTCCATATCATTCATGACGTGAAATTCGCTTCCCTTTCACATTCGCGAGTAGTATGAACCGGCATAAAGGTTTTTGGAAGATCCGTTCACTGTTCAGACTCAGCGGCGTAGCGGGGGGGGGGACTGACTCCCTGTGGGAACTCTTATTGCCCGTCCCCCTTTCAGATAAGCCTGACTTCGCCACTGCGTGGTCTTATTGCTTCTAGAAGTCATGCACGCTGACTCTACGTCCTGTCGGTCTATTTTGGGAAGTGGGCGTGTCGTCAACGTTTTTGTCTTGTGAAATCAAGGTGACAGAGTAGGTGAGGAAAATCCCAATAACAAATACCCACTTGATAGGGCTCAATTTACGGAGGCTTTGCTGCTTTTAATACAATATTTTCGTGTGCTACACACGAGACTCGTATCAAATTCAAAATACAAAACAAAAACCTTACAAGCTCTAACCGGAGGAAAATGTGGCCCTGATGCTTGTTGTTTTTTCAACATATGTGATTTTAACCATAATCTCCTGGATATAATCATCATGATTTGCGGTTGAAGACTGCAGTCACTAATATGCGTATTCGAGTACGGAAACCAGATAGACAGGGAATTGTGAAACATTGAACTTCTCACTTTGCCTTGTGTAGTAATTAGAAACTGTGGCATATAAGGTCACTGGAAATTAATTTTTTAATTTACATCTACATTATCGCCTGCTTTTCACGCACGACTGGAGTTTTACAATATTTTTTCTGGAAGTGTCTGCTGTTCAGCCAATATTTCTCGGACGAATTTGCTTTCAAATCCTGAGTTCCATTGACTTGCACGCAAATACACACTGTACAATGTAGTAAAACGAATGATTTTGCGCGCACAACGTGTCTACCGCATGTGTGATGTTCATAGCGTCTACGCAGTCCACATCAAACCGTCATTTCACACCTTGTTTATTTTGTAAATGCCACGGTTTGCCAAAACTTCGGTGTTCAACATTCAGGGTGTTTAATTTAACAACACGGCGTGGTTGTACAGTGTTTGTAACACATTTATTTATTTATACGGTTTTATGCAAATTTTCGTCCTCTTCAACGCTTAGTACTAACATATGTCAGACTTTGGTCCCTCAAGTCACTTTGGATGTGCAGAAAGTGAATGCATAAAATGTACAAATAGAAATTCCATTCCTTATCGTTTTTCTGTTTCGGTCTGTTGTTAATGCACACGTGGCCTATTAATGCTGTTGCCTGTCAACGACAGTACAATACAATACGATAGTATCAAAACCAGCCCAAAAGAATTGCACTAACGCTGTTTCTTGATCCTTGTACATTGAAATTTAAGCCCCTTTAGGTTTATACAATTGCAAAGGAACTTGAATTTTTTAAAAAAGATGATTATCGTCCACCGATTTCAAGTATCGCCCGAAAGGTGGAATTGAACCACTCCGACGCTAATCGGCTACAGATTTGAAGTCTGCACCCCACACCAGTGAGGCTCATCCGGGCATTTTATAATATTTGCAATTGTGCTATATATTCAGCCTCTTAACGCCATACATATCAGTCACGGTGGGCAAACGAAAAATGTATAGAAACATGACTTCTCTGCCATGAACAGAACATTTGTAATTGCTGAATAATTATCCTTCAAAAACAGTACTACATAATAGATTTTGCATGTAGCCTTCGACTTTTGTTACACAAGGAAATGTTTTACGTTGTTTTCGGCAGACGCTACTGCGTTTTCATTTTGTGCGTAGTTGTAGTGTAACCTTTGAACTCACCTTATTGATTATGGCTTCACGATGGGAATGCAATGATGTGGTACGTGGACGCGTGGCCGGGTTGTGCACATATTCATAATAAACATGTACACGTACATGTGCATGTACTGTACATGTGCATGTACATGTACATGTATACTTGTGTGAGTATACAAAATAAATGCACATGTACAATGTACATGTACGGTACATGTGTACATATACTGTACATGTATACATGTATACATGTACATGTGTACAGTGTACATGTATATAAATTATTGTACCATAGAGCAAGAAAACAGATTGATCTGTGATTGTACACACAATCTGTCATTGAAAAAAAAATTGATTACATGTGTTTTTATAATTCCATGATATAGAATTTTGTGTATAAGCTAACCAGCTTCCGATCAACAGACCTCAGGCCAGAATCTTTCAGGCATTGTTCAGGTGGAGAATCCAAATTAATTGAGAATGTGGAGGCTAAATTTCAACCCACCACAGGCCATGGATTCCTTCCTCAGATTATGCAATGTTGTTGAAGGCAGTGTTCCAACACAGCACTGACTAATCCTCCTGATACAACAGGAAGTAGGCCGCGGGGGAGGGTTGGCATAACTTGAACTTTGCTGGGCATGAATTGAAATGTGTTTGGTGACCTTCGGTTATTGGGGGTAATTAGCCCTTCCCTCGCTTACGACAAAACTGAATTGACTGTAAGTTATTTCATGAACGATAATTGGAACATTTGAGTTGAGGGCCAGCGTACTGCATTGTGTTTCCGCTACAAGTTGAGATTTTTTTCAGGTGGAGTTTCATGTGGGAAGACAATTTGAAAGTGAGTTTGGATGCTTTTCCCATCAAATAGTGTTTTGTTATGTGAGAACTCGAGAAGTGATCCCGCGGTATTCCCGCCGTGTCGGTCGGTGTTCGGTGCACTGTCTTGTACAGCGCACTTTGCTTTATTTTTCTACAACCAGTACTCAGTTGCCGACCACGAGCGAAGCGATAGTTCTTGGACTTAACTTTCCTTTAAACAAAGTTACGTATAAATGTTTAAATGGAGAGATAGGAGCAAAACTGGATGAAAGTGCTAGAGGGAAAATTTTCTTCACCTTTTTTCGGGGGTGGGGTTGTCTAGGATTTCAAACCAACAGTGCAATACTTCCAATACAGAGACTGCGGAGCCGATTGGAACGTCGACTAAAATTCAAATCTCATACCCGGTTACCCTAAATTGTACCCCCGTCACATATAGCATGCTTGGCGGTAAGATAATTACATGTACGTACACCCGTATCAATTAAATGGTTTCCTTTGCAGAACAAGACAGCAATGCGCTACAGCCTCCAGTTGGTTCAACCACTTAGCTTTGGTTTAGGAAAATGATTCGCGGCAACTCTGTTTGCACTATTGTTTCACAAGCAGAAGACAACATTCTTAGTGCATCCATTCCCAAGGACGCATGGACAGTACGTGCAGATTTTTTTCTTGTAAATAGCTCACATGACCACAAACAAATTCATTTTAAACGGTGAAAGGGATGATTGTTTGGCGGGAATGGCAAGTTAATATGATTCCTGGATTAAAAAAAAACAATGCGGACTTGTTTTGTTTGAAGGTATGTTTGAGTAATTTGTTCAGTTGAATATCCTAATGGCAGTGGCGTAGCTAGGATTTTACAAATGGGGGGGGGCAGCATCTTTATGGGGGGCACCAGCTTTCAGTGGTGTGTTTTTTTGGGGGAAATTTTCGTTAGCCTTGTTCGGTATCCATTCATCCTTTTTCTAGTGGGGGGGGGGGCATCTGGGGGCACCGGGAATTTTTTTTGGGGGGGCGTACCCCCAGCCCCCCCCCCTGTGACTACGCCACTGCCTCATGGAAGGATGACATGGAACTCTCCTAGCCTTCGTTCCCCCTGAAAAAAACATCAACAGGATTTTGTTTCCTTTTGAAAAGTTTGACTTACCTGTACCATCGGAAACAGACACCACATGAAAACTTGTGGAAGTTCACTTCCTTGCTCGAGATAGCGTCTTCCCCCCTTTTTCGGGAGGTAAAAACCACATAATTATCAGAAATCCACAGGTGATGTCCCATGGAGCAAGGAAACAGACACCACACGAAAACGTCTGGAAGTTCACTTTCTCGTTCGAGATAGCGTCTTCCTCCCTTTTTTTCTGGGGGTAAAAACCACATCCACAGGTGTTATTTTGGGCTTTTTACTCCAATTTGGCAAAGTTCAAGCATGAGGTACTTTACGACGAGACACCCATCCCCGGCCTTGGCCAGGGGTTATCAGGTCAGGGGAGAGAAGCGGCATAGCCAAGGTCGGCCCGGAAAGTCATTCTTTGATCAAGTTTCCCTCGCAAGCTATACCTGATTTTTTTTAATGGATTTGCCTTCTGTGACATTGTGATATCCACCACTCATACTCTGCTTCAGAGACCTTATAGGCTGTGACTAACACAAATTTCGGGTGCTGTTTATTAAAGTGTCTAAGAAGACTCCACACTAATATAGAAATGACCAGTCAATAAATTAATGTGCGCATGGTTTATTCAGTGTAACTAGTCAATGAAAAACTTTTTACAGCATAAACATGTATACATGTATGTACATGGCCGGAAAAATGTTAAAGTTTCTCAAAGAAGCTGATTTGCACAGCGAGAAGGAAAAAAGTAAAGGACACTATCTCTGCACTAACAGAACGACGTCACAGTGTTTTGATGCGAAATAAGTTTACCGCACACGAAACTGAATGGTTGTTTTTATTTACTGACCACAACATTTGAGGACAAATGGTGTGATGAACATCCAGCCACAGTCGCTAAATCCATCACAGTCCATTTGTCCTTGTTATACGGGGAATAGATCGTGTATCGTGGACTTAATTGCGTATGGTGTCCTGCATATTAAACATATCTGTTACTAGGGTCGTTCGGGTTCATTTGCTCTCACGAGCTCAGATGTCCTTATCTAGTGGACGTCATTTTCTCGGATACAGTCGATGGTTGATCATTGTGATGCATCTGTTATTATCTATTACTTAATACTTATCCAAGCGATTTCTCATTTGCCGGTCGGTTTGGGCGGGCCACCTGAGCACGTCGGCACGCTATGCACTAACTTGACACCATATTTTCATGTGCCTATAATAAATTATGTTCAGCTCCAGCGACGTAAAAGGAACCTGACTCACTGTGAGAAACTGAATCCGCTTTGGTGTTGATGAACTTGAGGCATAGTTTACATCTACCTGGGGGGGGGTGTATCAACGATTTTATCGACATTTCGCAAGTGGAAGGTGTTGTTGACCATTACCCAAGACGGGTCAAAAAGACCGTTGTTCAAACATTGTCACGATGTGTATGTTTAATGTTAGCGTCAAAAGGGGCACCATTAAAATAAATAAGTGTGCAGGTTGAACAGTTTCTTTTAAACTCTGTCACAAAGGTTAGAAGTAATAACGACACAATCTCAAATTGGTTGTAAATGCGATCAATCTGATTTGGGGTGCTTTGGTCTTTTGTTCGGGCCTATATATCCATGATTCTGTTGCGCAAAACGTTCCGTGAGGCTGAAACAGGTATCTTGGGGATAAGCCTATTGAAACATTTAGCTTAGTCCCGGTTAGGACTCCTTGAAATATGCAACTCGCACGTGTGAACGAACGAACTCAAACAAAAACAGCTGTGAAATGCATGTATGGTTCTTGCTTTGTTTGGCTTCAAAATTTTCGTCGTAAAAATATCCTTGGTTATCAGCTTTTAGTCCACCGCATACTGCCGGTATTCCTTGCATGAGTGGTAATGGTGCTTGCAATAGCGATGAGATAGACTGGGTGTGTTTGTTCAAGATAGGCACGCGTCAATCAAGTCAGTGCGCCAGCTGGGGATACACTGGTATACCTGTCGAGCGTCGTCAGAACGGAGGAAGACAAAACATTGCGAAATGATTGAGCGCACGATAACAATAAAGGGGATTGTGGATGCGTTCATGCTTAGTCAACACGCCCCTTGGCACTTCCGATGATAAGGCGATTTGATTTCCCTGAATCGTTAACCACAAGGCACTTACCCCATAATATACAAAAAAGGAAATCTTAACCAACACAGAGAGTGACAAACAAAATGTGGCAAGATGTACAGCAATTGGCAAGAGTGATTTTGCACAAAGATGCTTAAAAATTAGTGACGTCTAAAACAAAAGTTATGCAGTGAAATTACTGCATGAAAGTCTCAGTTTCTAAGAACACGTTTGGAGTCAAATTGTCATGTACAGGTTGTGCTCCATATTGGATCGAAACCAGAGGATTGTTTGCACAAGGATAGTGTTCATTTAAAAACGCACAAAAGTCAGGGTTTTGGTATTAATAAAAAGCAATGACAAATGATTACTAAACTCTATTAAGATTAAGAAGTAAAGCGTTTAGTGTTAGTAATAAGAAGAATCCTCAGGCGAAAGCTGTTTTAGGTACGCCTTGCGTAAACAGTTTTTCTCGCTCTTGAACATTTGTTGACGACAGCTTGTCTTTTGGAGGAAAGTATTACTTTCGATTGTTCCAGCCACTCCAGTGTTTTGGGGCTAATAAAGATGAACTTATAAGTTTGTTGCCGACGCATCATGTAGCTGGCTATTTCTCTGTTTGCGTAGCTGCTGTTGCTGTTCGTGTTTTGAGACTCGAACTGGATGCCACTGATTTCATTTCTAGTCATCGAGGCTTCCATCGATTTTGAGATGATTTCTTTAGGCAGCTAGATGGCTCTGGAATAGCCGACAGTCTGCAACGAACTATCGCCCCGATGACCTGCTTGAAGTATGGGTGCTTGGTGGCATAGATGGCTGGGTTGATGCAACTGTTGGCCAGGATGATCGCCCCGGCCCACGGGATGAACGGCTCGCTCCGCGGGATGACCAGAGCTGCGCAGTACGGTGTGATGCAGAGGATGAAGGCGCACACCACGTAGAAGAGGTTCTTGGTAATTTCCACCTGTCTCCGGCTGATGTTCTGACGGTGGCTGCTCTCCCGCCGCACCGGCTGGGTGAACTGGGACTGGGTGGAGGAGGAGTCGGCCTGCTCGGTGATGTTCCTGGCGTGGTTGCGGACGTGGCGGAAGACGGCCACGTAGCACACCACGATGGTGACCATGGGGACGGGGTAGATGAGTAGGGCTTGCGTCAGGCTGTAGTAATCGGACAAGGGATGGGAGGTCTTGTGGGTACAGGTGCCGTACTTGTCGTCATACCCCAACTCCCCAAGTCCAAAGAGGAGTGGAATGACGGCAATGAAGAGTGAGATTCCCCAGGTCAGGACCACCATGAGCACGAGCTTCCAGCGACTGTAATACGCCTTGTACTTGTGCATGGGTCTGGTAATAATGACAAACCGGTTGATGGCGATGGCTGCAAGAGTGTAGACGCTGCAGCTCACGCAGGTGAAGATCACCACGGCAGCGATAGCACAGACTGCCCCGTCAATGGGCCAACCGTCTGGGCTGAGCAACGCCACGACGTTCCAGGGTAAGACCAGGCAAGTGAATAGGTCGGCCAGGCTCAGGTTGACCACGAACACATTGGTGGCCGTGCGTAGCTTCCGTGACAAGATCACGGCGACTATGACCAAACTGTTGCCCGCCGTGCCCAAGACTGAGATAAGAGCGAAGAGGCAAGACACAACTATTCTTTGGCGCATGTCATCAAATCTGAAGAGCTCGGTCATGGTCTCTGTGGTCCCACTCACAGGAATAGTATCGTTGCTATCCATGACTGGCAGTCTCTCAAAAACGACAGTGGTGGGACCTCAAAGAAATACCAATCCGTCCAGTGATTCCGAATCGTGAAGACGTCCACGCATTTGTTCAAGTCACTGACCTGCTTTCTGATTCAAGCTGGCAAAACAATTCTTGTCGCAGTGAACCCGCGTCTGTCCATGTTGTGCGGATAAAAGACGCACAGCGTCCGCGGATCCTGATTTCGACCGACTGAACGAGCGTCCTTGTGCTTTAATTACTTGCCTTGGTATATATAGCTGAGCTCAACCTGCGTTCTCTACTCGGCAGGGGGAAAATTTCCAATTTGTCTACCTGGCTTGTGGCCGTCGTGACGCTGATTGATAACGTGGATAGCCGAAGATGTCACACAGCACCTCCAATACCGCCAGTCCTCTGAACACCGACTGTCCATCAACGGCACTCAGTCTAAAAGTTTTACGAGAAAGCCCAACTGCGCATGTTCATTGACAACCAGCGCAGATCTATCGTGTGCATGCCCGTATGGCGCATGACCCTGGGACGTGCAGAGAAAGGCGCTGAATGAACACAAACAACAATTCCAGATGTAGAGTAGATGAGTGGCCTCTTCCGCTCAGATGATTAAACAGTACAAGATCACAATTTTTAAGAACGCTCTCTGCAAGCGGTGGCTTGTCCGTCTGTCGCGCAGCTACAGTAATCATAACCACAAGTGTCTGTGACGTAAACATTAATATGTGCTAATGGGAGCGGCATGGCGTAGGCACTGTAACGAGCAAAGACAACCACATACATGTGTTGACTTACAGTCGAATAGCAGTCATTTGTACAGCGTTGCTGTCGCGGTGCACTGCATGGTGCAAATTGTTAATTTGATCTGATATTAACCGGACGCGCCTGCCACGTGGGCTCCTTCGCCAATTATTGTGGTCCGCCATGGGGCCACTGACTACGCCTTCCCCCGTTTTATTGTAACTTTGCGTGTAGCAAAATTATCAAAAGGAAAATGGCTCGTGAAAATTATAATCAAAGGGTGTACTGTCCCAATTAAAGAAAAATTCTCCGCCTGGCCGAGGCGCTTAAAAAGTACCCCTATAAATTCTTTTGAAAAGAGGGGTCTGCGTGGGCCAAGAGATTGTGGGATTGAGTAAATATGGCCCAGGATCATCTCTGCAGACTCAGGGGCGCCCATCTGGGGGCAAAGCAGACAAAAATGTGATAGAAAATTTGTCAGAAGAGCCTGCATGATAAAGGTGGGTGAGGGATGTCATTGACAAATGACTGCTGAGACTTGGGACCGTTCAGTGTTTGGGGGGGGGGTGAGTTTGTTTTGGGTGGATAATTAAAAATTCATTCGTTAACATACTAAAACTTGAAACTCAAATGAAATCTGAAGGACCAAAACACTCATTGTTTTTTTTTGTTTTAGAGGCCTCAGGGACTTCAGTTGCCTTCCGAGTTCAATGGGGCTTCAAACTTTGTTGATTTTACACTGTTTTCAATGGAACTTGAATTAGTTCAGTGCACCCCAAAGATCATGCAAGGATCCACGTTATTGTATTAAACCTCTTCGATCATACAGCCGTCGTATAGCAACCGGTCGCCTTAAGCGCGCGCGCCTCAGCACGGCATGTGAACCTTGTCAGGCACTTTTCCTGCAGAAAATGAGTCTACACTAAGTCTTTTTTCAGGGCAAGGTTAGCACGGCAGTGAAATATAAAACCCTCCTCCTACATAAACCCACTGAAATTAAATTAATCTGATTACAATTGTAGATGAATCCTGTCTGTGTCGATTACAATCATTAAATGGCATTGTTCATGTTTATTGTTCGTGTTTATGTTCACTTCAAAAACCGTCGTTTGTAATTTTTTGGCCCACGTGTCTGTGACTGAAATGCGAAGCCTGATCAACTATTATGACCCGGCTAGCTGAACTAAATGCATTTTAGGGTGGAAATAGGGGCGGGGACACTGAAGGTGCATCGAATGGGCTTGGTGATAGTTTCAATAGTACAGGAGACACATTTACTAAAGAGTACGTTTACGTAAAAAGTGCAAGCGACAGCCTGGGAAGGAAACACAGTTGTTTACTTCGTTAATTCCTGCCACCCTGGGCTCAGTAGGCTGAACCTGCTGCAGCTTTCAGTGTTTCCCCCGTTGTTGACATGACCATGGGTGCCGACATTTGGTGAAGTAATCATAATGTCAGTCGCTCCAAGGATTATATCACGCAAGGCCAACGGAGACAGGAAAAAGCACAAGCTGCGCCAAAGAGTCAATGATGATAGCTAGAAAATCATAAGTGTTTCCGTTCGCGTGGTTAAAAAAACAAAAATGAATCCTCCTTCCTTGCTGGCGCACTGATGTCTTTTTGATTGCACACGGGGCAGAATTGTCAACAGTTCCCAGGTTGCCCACATAGGGCAGTAGTTGTGTGGGTACTGTAAGAAAATGTGTCCCCTTTATATTGGACTACACCACGGAGCTATACAGGCCATGAACGACGTGGTTGAATTTACAAAAGAGAGACCTGCCTAGCAAAGTGTCTTAACGCGTCGCTAGTGAGAGCGCTCCTTCTTCGTTTTTCCTTTTGTTTAGTCTTTGAAATAAGTGCTCCCTGTTTAATAACCCGTTATTGACCTAACAAGTAGCTGTTTTAGCGCCACCAGCGTTTTCGAATCTGAGTTTAGACCCGTTTTCTCCGTATTAACCTCAATACAGTAGCCCATCGATTAAACTGGCTCGACGGCACAGTATTTACATTTGACACAGAGGGCGCACTTGCAAAAAATAGGGGTGCACTGAACCAATTCAAGCTCCATTGAAAATAGTGTAAAATCAACCAAGTTTGGACCCCCATGGCAGGTAACTGAAGTCTCTGAGGCCTCTCAAACGAAAACAATGTGTTGTTTGGTTCTTCAGATTTCATTTGTTTTTTTAATTTTTAGTAGGTTAACCAATTTTTTTTTTTATTATCCGCCAAACACAAACTCACCCCTCCAAAAGTGAATGCTCCCAATCTTCTCAGCGGCCATTTTTCAAATGACATTCCTCACCTTCCTCGGGCTCTTCTGACAAATTTTCTATCACATTTTTGTCTGCTTTGCCACCAGATGGGTGCCCCTGAATCTACAGAGATGATCCCGGGCCATACTGACACAATCCCACCATTTCGTGGCCCAAACAGACCCCTCTTCTCGAAAGAATCTGTGGGGGTGCTTTTTGTGCACCTCCGCCTGGCGGAGAAATTTCCTTGAATTGGGACACTGCACTTGTACGAACAGCCGGCTGTTGCAGGGCAAATATCGCCAATTTAAAGTTTGCAGCTAAAATGGATCGAAGACTAGGAATAGGTTCGGTTAGTTTGTTGTTGGTTATTCGAGGCTACGGCTTTTACAGAAATAAATGAATAAATGTAACGAAATAAGGTCCCAGCAAATGCTCCATTACGTTCCCACCGATTTAAACTGAAACAACAGGAGGAAAATTTAACTTCAGTCCCCTGTTGAGTCGATTTTCTCTGAGTTTTCCTTTTGGGGGTCATAATTATCCTAAATTGGCCGAAGGTGCGTAATTCGGGTTTACAAGTTAGCAATTTGGGTGGATTTTGGGAGAGGGCGCTATTCCTCCAAGAAAGACTCGACTCGGTGAACACCTAAGAATGGTTGTAATGTTGCAGAGAGATCATTTAGTGTGTTTCCAAAACTTTCCAGGAAATACTTTTTCTAGTATTGGAACCTTTTTTATATTCGTCGTCTCTTCAGTCGTCGGTATATATTTATGTCGGTTCGTTTGCAGAGGTGAGAATTCCGCTTTTAGCTGATTTCACCTTTTTTTTTTAGACGTTGACCCTGAATTTCAGCTTTTCTTGTACACTTGGCCTGTACAAAAGTATGGGAACTTTTTACTTTCAGCTTTTTGTCAGCTGTTTTCAGTGATGCTGTTGTTCAGCGATGCAACGCTTTCTTTTCTTGCTTAATGTTTGGGATTCAATACATTATTAGATTATTTTTTATATCTTTGGTGTCGTTCCTTTTACTGGAAGCCCAGTGGTAAGAGCCGACCTTTGTCTACGAATCTTCAAGAATGACTTGAAACCAGACCATTTCATTGTGGCGATTATTTCAGTTTGGTCTCTCTCAGTTTGTCTATGGAACTGTCGGTACTGCTTTCTGAGATCGACAAGCCCTGCTCCCCAGTTGTTTTGAAACCTATCAACTTCAGCTCCGCCAATACATTCCAGCTTGCATGGTCTGACTACTCTATGATCGCCTTATGATTTCTAGTTCTGATGGCAAAGCTGTTTGTCAAATTAAATCAGAGGGTGCACTGCTTTAAGGTGTGTCAAATTCAGTGTTGGAAAGCTACGGAGAGTAGACCCAATGCACAAATTTGGTTGCTTGCTGAAGACAACATGGAGCCATCTGCTTGTTACAGTCTACTCAAATTGTTACCTATCTTTACATAGAACAATTAAATACAGTAAAGTTGTGCACTTAATAAATAAAAACTAATCAGGTGCACGAAGGCGCATAAATTATACATTTCATAGTCTACCGCACGAATATTGCTTTTCTACACATTTCTGCGTACCCGCACAACCTCAAACTCCGTCAATATTTTCTACTTTGATAGAAAATACTTCACAGGAATGATTCATATGAGCTCATTTTATTTGCTCGTTGAACGGCAATGAAATTGATTGCATTCCAAACACAATTCTTCATGTTCCTGGAAGGGCGTAAAGCCTGGTTTCCATATGGTCGTTTGTATTCGTAGACGGTCCGAAAAGACGTCAAGACGCAGACAGTCACGGAAGAGACGCCGCGCGACGTCATTCCACCCCCCAAAATTAAACAAAATAGCGCCCGAAACTTGGAACATTTTTGCCCCAAATGCCTTTTTTTTAGGTGGCGATGTTTCCTCCTGGAGTCAAACTGATACTCCAATTTAATATAATTTGTTAATGGTCACCAGCCATTTTGTTGACGATTTGGGCTGCATAATTATGCTAGAAATAAGGAGAAAATTGACAAAATGAGTGGTACTAAGAGAGATAAACATCGTTATACGCCCATCATGTCAGCGTGTGTGTTTGTGCATAGGCCTTCTTGGCGACTCGATACAGACAATCTGGGAAGTTAAACCGGGCTCAACTTTGCCGATCCGTGTGGGGCTGGTTTGCGTCATTGGCAGTGCTTCCGTTTGACATGTTTCCATATGTTTGACATGTTTCCATATCTCTGCGTTTCTTACGTTGATATGGAAACCAGGCTTAAGCGCAGACGACCTTTTGCTTGGAAGCATGATCACTGCAAAAAAATTGTTTTCTTTGCAAAAAAAAAAGTATGTATGCAACTATTTTATTTTAATGAAATATACAAATTTCTTTGCAAAAAGTAAAAATAAAATCCCCCAGTCGTTTAAGAAGCTTTTTAAAGGTTGGTTTTTGTACAGCCTGTATTGATTTTGTGGTAAATTTCATCTGTTTTTACTAAATAAAGAGAGGTGTTTCTTACACCCTTTAGCTAGGAATAGCTGTTTGTTTGTTGGTGTGTTGGGGGTGTTTGTTGGGTTGTTAGTTTGTGTGTTTGTGTTTGGTGGTGGCGGTCTGAAGTTTTTCTTTTTCGATTCAGTGTTTGTATTAGTATATAGCAGTAAGCCAGTAAGAAGCCCTTTCTCAGGAAGGTTTTTGGTGAGAAAATTCTGGGTTCACAATTCAAACAGAAAAAACTACGTACGGAACCACGCTCTCCGTGAATGACATCATAGAAACAACGCCCTCACTTGCTCAGGCAACCTTGGACAGTTTGAAATGCAAAAAAAAGTGCACCTTTCATTTAACCTGTTAAAGGAGTGTCAAATAATTTCCATACCCTGGCAGAGAGTATAAGAGGGTATAAAGTTGCAGAAAAGTGTGTCTATAGAAAAATCCATTGCTGCTGCCTTTTAACACTTTCAACGATTTTGTCACATTGGTTCAGTTTTACGGGCAAAACCTCATTTTCGCAGTTACAAATTGCCGTAGAATGCCCGTCGCCGCTGGTGTGCTCTGCAGTGGGTCTCTGACTTGTTTCATGAACACTATGCATATTATGAGTTCAGGTTATGCTTGGAACAGCCTGTTGTGTCAGCCACATTAAGAATGGTGATATCAAATAGTGCACATTGGCTTTTGGATACTATTATTTAGGCAAACAGATGGCGTGAACACCCCCATCAAGCGTCGCAATAACACCAACATGACTTATAGTATTTATGACGGAAACGCTGTACAATTTCCCCTCGCAGTCTTTCAGCTTGATTTTTTCTCCTTTTTTTGGAAACTCTGTTTAGTCATTTACCTATACTTTGACGTGCATACGGAAACCCTTTAGACGCACGACAAACCTCGTCGTTCCTACTGCAGTTGCATTCAGGTTAAGATCGAAGTGTATTCATGGCATATACTTGGGTAGTGTTTCGCTTCGAGGATCAAATTCCTACTGATTTGGCTTTCCCCACTGATGACCATATTTCTTCTTTAAAAAAGTTTAATATATCCAAATGTGCATGCAGAAGTCAACGACTTCTACGCAGAGGAAAAACACATAGGCCTTTATGGATATAATTATGAAGCATATAAGTCAAGCAGAGATATATAAAACCAGGCTTGCGTTCTTTTCATTTTCTTGCAATCAAAACTAAGGTAGATATACAGTACATGGGTCGCTAATACGTCTCGGCACAAAAGCAAGTTAAAGCAAGTTGCATATCTAAAACATGTCGACATTTTTTCTAGCAACAGCAGTTACTCAAGGTTAACTTGACAAATACAATGTAAGGAACTTTCTTAGTAGTTTTAATAAAACATATATCCATTAACCCTAACAGAGCCGGGTTATTTTGGCCCATGTCACGGCCGGGGGGGGCGGACTCTGCCCTCCCAAGAACTCGGCCGTGCCTGGCTCGATTTTTTTGCTTGTACAGAAACTCCTTATCATTACAAATGTGAAGTTATAAATCAGTCAAATACACGGGTTTGTTGTCACAGTCATTTTAAGTTCAGGCCAGCACACGTGCGTGGAGCACCGCCACGAAAAAAGTACATGTATATATTTTTGGCCGACCCGTCCCAGAAAAACGCGTGCTGCGTAAGAAATGTACCTTCACTTTTTTGTGCGAAATTGGTGTCAAAATGACCACAATTAAAGAGTTACTTTAAAACTCCTGAAGGCTCAAATCCTGAAAAAAAGTACCGCGGCGATATCGAAAAATCAACTGTCGAGGGAATCCTCCCGGCTCTTTTAGGGTTAAACCTGTTTGGAGTACAAAGTTAAGAGGCTGTTTGCTTTGAAAATCTTTAATTTCAAGGTATCCCGTTAGCTACTTGTTTGAAAACAACAACGAAGTAAAACAATAGAAATAAGCTGAAAATTTAAAGGGCCTGACGTTACTCACCTAACTGAAACTTTCTCAGTGGCCTTGCATACTTCAGACCACCTCTGTTCTTAAAAACAAAACACTGTGTTATCATTGTGTAACTTTTGGTAATTAACACGGAAACATGAGACGGTCGGGAACGATTTCTGGAGTTTAAGCAATCTGTAAGTACAGGTGGCAATCTTAGTCCAGGAAACTGGTTTTTGTTGATGAAAATGAGTTCATTATGATTAGTTTTGGACTTTTCCATATTAGGTTTGCTGTGAAAATTTCCAGACTTGTATCTGGCCCAAAACTCGACTGTTGCAGACATGAGACGGACTTGAGACTGGCATTTGGGATTAAGCGAACTCGACTGGGCAGTCACGCTACTGGTATCAATCACCTGTCTGTACAGTGGTACATTTGAAGCCACCCTGAATGGACGCCGACGGACCACGCGGATTTAGCTCTCTCGGGGTGTGTCAGTCGCAATTAGAACGCTTGTTCCACTTTGTTCCTCGATTCACTTGTTACACATACAGCAAAGTTGGCGAAACACTCTGGCAAAATACCGCCTGTACTTCATATTTAAGAGAGCGTACAGGATTGGGTTTATGGTGCTATTGCACCACAGCAAGTTATCGGTCACTTCTTGCACGTAGTAGTTAATGCAGTCGCCGCAGAAGGCCAAGATGGTGTTCTTGATGTAAAACGGTAGCCAGCAGAGAATGTACGCCCCGACCAAGAGGCTGAGAGTTACAGCCGCCTTGCGGTGCTTCTGGAACTCCCTGTAACGGTGGAAGGTTGCCCGTCGTGTCGATTGGGCGTAGCTGTTCGCTAGGGGGCTCTGGTGCGAAGTGGGTTCATTCGACGGCTCAGGTGACGAGCAGGCGGTGCTGGCCACTGCGGTGTGGGCCGTTTCTGCACCAGTATTCGTCCCGCTGTCGTCACGAATGAGCAACGTCAGGGATGTCAGCGAGACTCTGCCCGGGATAGCTTCTGTAATGTACAACAGGCCGCTCGCTCTGTCACCACGTGCTGTCTTGAAAGACGGGGCAGCCACACCGCTTGAAACAGTGGGGACAGGATCTCCAAAAGTAAAGACCAGTCCCTTGGCCCGCTTCCTGACAAGAAGGTACAACCTGGTGTTGAGGTACACCAGGACAATCAACGGAATGATGAACTCTATGGCAATAAGAAACAGATTCAGGTACAAGTTTTCACGGGACTGTAAGTCGCATTCAAAGCTGTAGTCGATAATGTTCTCTCCCGTGACGGGAGACCACAAGACGACAACCGCCGGGAAGAACACCAAGCAGAATGCCCAGCAGCTGCAAATGGTCAGCGTTGCCCGACGCCGCGTCTGCACAACAGCGTACCGGAGCTTCAAAGTGACCAGCCGGTAGCGATCCAGACTGATTGAGATGATGGACAACACGGACGCGAAGGACATGGCGTAGTCGAGGCTGAGCCACAGCAGACACGGCACCATGCCCAGCACCCAGTCGTCCGTCAGCAGCCAGACGAAGTTGAAACCCATGATCAGCCCCACCAGGAAGTCGGCCACGGACAGGCTGAAGATGAAATAGTTGGACACCCGGCAGCGGATGGCCGGCTCTCTTACGAAGGCCGTGATGACGATGAAGTTGCCCAAGATGGTCACCACCACGATGGGCCCGTAGATGAAGCAGACCACGAGGGTGTGTGCGAGGTGTGAGCCTTCATCTGACGACTCACAGTCGTCGTCACCACCGATAGAGGAGCTGCTGTCGTTACTAATGCATACACCCCCTCTATCCGATTCATTCATGATTGCCCAACTCTCCTGTTTGTGCCACATCAAAAACATTAAAAATCTGACATCAGCTCCAATACGTCGGTATACCAGTGACACTGGGTTGGTTCTAAAGAGCGTTGGCAATGCAAGTAGAGACACCGTCCTTGCAAATCTACATGAGGAGACTCCGTCCGTTTGTGGTGTGACATGAACACCATTTTGAACCAGAGTTCTGTTTCGATGCCGCCGTAGCTTTGATCGAGGCTGATGCACTGTCGAAGCGGGGATGGAGAGTATGTTGCATACACGTATAGCGCAGCTCCTTCCACGTTAACATGTACGCAGTGACGGCACCCGCCATCTGGCCACTCATTGCGCAGTCGCCACCAGCACGTTTGACCACGGTCCTCGTGTCACGTTGTCTGGTTCAATGCGCATGCAAGTACTACCACTGCCTCTCTTTAAAGGGGACATTCCTGTAAGTTCCGCCATACATTTCGCTTTCAATCTCATGGGAAATGTCGTTCAGTCGTAGGGTTTGTTACAAAAACTCTGAAATATCTATGTAATTTGCTCGATCTTAATGCGCGATCGTTTAGGAGAGCATCATCGTCACTATTCACTATTGCAACCGCCAACATTGTTGTCACTTTCATGGTAACGCCACCATCGTTACCATGACTACAATCATTGACACCGTCGCCGCCATTTAATAGGCATCTGAATTAGGTAACCGTTTCAGCTTCATTGGCGCAAAAGAAGGTGAAAAAAGAGAATGGTTAAACTGGCTTGCGTAGTGTGGGTTCTAACATTGAGGATGGCCGTGGTTTGAATCGCATATAGCACAAAGTGTAATATTCTCTCTTTCTTCAAGTCTGTCTTCCGTTGGAAAAATATCAGTTTTGAAAGGCTATTTAATTTGTTGCAAAGCCTTGACCTTTGTTTCTTCAAGGGGCAAACTCCTTAAATGCACCATCATTACCCAACACGTCCCCCTTCATCAGCACCTTTTCCCATGATGTTCGTCCTCATCACGTTTCGCACCACTGCGTCACCGCCTCCGCTTGTATCACTAGGACTCTGCCACAGTAATCTCATCGAGGAAGGGTACAATTCCATCTCTATCAAGGCGCGCAGGTCCCAGTGCGTAGCCCCGTCAACATCTCCTTGGATATCAAATTCTGAAGGTGACATGCGCGTTTTGACATTTCACTTTAGGGCCAGTGATCAGTTTAGCAAGTGGTAGAAACTCACTTTTATTCCTTGTTTGTACTTGGGCATAATCTCTGCATCGCTAAAAGCCAATAATATGGAAAAAACCACCATCAAGAGTGTCCTCTTCCTAATCACATGAGTTGTGAATACCTCTAGTTGAAACTTTATGTCTAAGATGGACAATACTAGGCAATTATTCGAATAGTTGGATATTTGATCGAGTACTGAGTATTTGAATAACTATTTTCAAAATCGAATACTCGGAAGTGACAAGTCAATGAAATAAGGGGAAAACTATCATTTGGTTGTAAAATCACATGTCAAAATGTTACGGGTAAATTTGAAAGTAATTGCTTACGCGTACCCAACAGTAATCCCGAAAATAGTTTTCCTCCAAGTTCTTCTGTCTCTTGGTTATTGTATTTCTGCGTGTGTGGGAGTTTGGCTAACCCGAATATTGGATCATCCTATCGAATTTAAAGTCGCATATTCAAAGTCAGGTGCCTTTGTTGCCTCCAGCGTTCCGTTCAAGTGCTCTCTGATCCACTGCCCATGACATTCCATCAACCTTCATGGGATATTCATGCAAAATTGCCCTTCGCCAATGATCGTTACTCCTAACCCGCTCCCAACGTGTCATCTAGAAGCATAATTATTTGTGAAGTGCCATTAACGAAATGCATCATTTATGTGAAAACAAAGCATGAGACAAAAATGGCACGCTTTTCCGGCTGGCAATGGATGAATCCAAAGTTTTCAAATAGGGCCATTAATGCAGATGAGCAGTCGTCAAATATCTGTGATTTTATTGAAGTGTTCTGTAATTGATGGAGACGATAAAGAGGATAACCGTACGTGGAATCAGGAGCGAGTCGTTCCACTTTGTGTAGAGTGGAGAAGCAAACTGAACTACGACATAATTCAGACTCGGTCAGAATCCTCAGGAACCGAATAAATTTGTTCCTGTTCGCTGTAATGCATGTACTTAATATTGCGCGCGGGAGCATTGTCAGCGGATATCGTGGAAATCTAGCCCCTCTCATCAGCGGGCAAATGGTTTTCCAAAGGAAAGGAATACCATCGTTTCAGACGATGCCCACTTTTACCAATTATCACGAGCAGTCGGCAGTTGGGGTAATGGGTCCCCAAGCGTGATCTGCAGTACGGAACGTGCTCATACATTTCAATCGTAATGATGTACAGTGTATGAAGACGCCACCAGTACGCGTGTGTGAACAGATACCATATTGACATAGACGACACGCGTCTCGTGTCCATGTGGAACGCAAAGTAATGCCTGTTTTTCGTCCTGGCATTGATTGGTTTCCATGTTCCCCACTTGTGTCTCCAGAGAGGAAGAACCTGAAGCTGCATCTTCTGATGATCGTTTCTTGCATTTGTAGGATGAAATGGTAGTATAAACAAATGATGAGCCCTATTCTCGAGTCAGCCATCTTGAATCGAAGCGAGTTGGTCCCTGTCTTAATGTCTTACAAGCTTAATATGTCTGGAAATGATGCAGTTGAAGCAAATCACATATTACCATCCTTGTGCTCTAAAGGGTAATTCCAAAATATGGATAAAAACTCATGTCACCTTTATTTTCGAAATTTTAAACATCAAAGCGGCACTATACCTATAGGCTCCATCTATTGAAGAGTGTTCAACAAAAAGTTGATTCGGGGTGCACGACTGAAAAGTCCACCTTGTGAATATTGTGTATCTATGCTTTAAATAGATTTAATAAAAAATAAACATACATCGTAACGGTGTATCAGGACTTTGTAAACTATTCTGTTGCCCTCACGCGACCACTATGCTTACATTACCCTTTCTTGTTATTAAAGAATACATGGAATTTATGGAAGTAGTGGCCGTTTGTCTCATAGCCCATGCTTTTATGTTTTGAATTTAGATGATGATGTAAAACAGTTGCAACACTTTGAACAACTCTTTGCGAAATCCAATGTCTCACAGTGCGGGCGCAACAGTTTAGACGGTATGATAGTTGGCCAAGCCCCGCTTAATGCGGCATATACCGACCCAAATATCCAATAAAACATAGCCGGAGTGCCTGGTATTAGATGATTCAGAAAAAAATGCCATTTGAACACTGGCGACGCCACATGAGCAGTTGCCTCGTTTCTAACAACGCCGTCATGGATACCACGTAGCCGTCTACCATATACTACAGGTATCGTAACCGCACGTGCGCGTGAAGATTTTGAAAGTTCGGTATCATAACATTAATGGGATAGGCCTAAATGTGGTTTTCCGGAAAGAGCATAATAACACCAACCCTAAATTCAGGCTTATTGTCAATGCTCACTTTCCTTGTTTAACTGGTAAACAGTATAAATGATCAAATTCAACTACCCCTCAAAATAGAGCAGAAATCAATGAGTACGCTGCAGGAAAGTTTAGTGTGTCGTTATTCAAAGGGCAATAACGACCTTGTTAAGTTTAGCTTTTAAAATAGCATCATCTTACATTAAAATGTTTTCTTGTGAGATTTCTTGGTAAGGTTATGAAATTTTAGGCAGAAGTTTATACAGTTATGCCTGAAATATTTGCAAAAAGGTTTGTCAAAAAATTCAATATTTTTTGTGGAATTGAAAAACTCCAGGATTGCTCGATTTCTTGAAAAAATAGGGAGCATTGCTACGCCTATGTTTAAAGAGAGTAATGGCTTTTATACTGCGTATGGTATGATATAGAGATGTTGAAGGGATATTCCATTCAATTCCGCGTTCTGTTAATGAACGGTGCTCCAGTGAATCTAATTGAAGGACGTTTGGTTTTTTTGTGTGTGTCTTTGTGACTAATGCCACCTGTCAAATTCTTTTCTTGTTTCGTTTAATATGGTTCATAGCATCTTGTAAGAGAAATAGTCATGCTTCTGATTGATTTTTGAGAGATTTTTACTTCGTTCATCCCGAGCGAATTTATCATGGAACCAAGATAATCCATCGCACTTCCATCCCACGGGGTTACACAGACGAAAATACCGCATATCAAAATAAGTAATTATACTACGGGAATTTTGTGGTGTCAATTCAAAATCGAATTCCGCGCCTAACGATTTTGTGATGAAATTGATGGGTATCTCTGGCGAGTAATTGTGTATGACATGACAAATTTTCTTGATGAAAGTCGGCAAGGCGTTTTTCCATTCCACGTATAAAAGCTCAGCAGCCATTTATAGCCTCACTTGTCCTTTGATGTGTCAAAAATGTCAACAATCTAACAGTTCAGAGAAGAAATCTGTTTATCTCACGGTTGTGGACATCCCAGCCCCGTCGCAAAGTAGTTGCTTTCTTGAAAGAAACGTCGTGGTCGACTCCACTGCATTTTGGTTGGCAAAATAGACCTGACCACTGAACATACTAACGCGTAAAGGCGGATTGAAATTTGTTCTCTCTGTAAAAGTCTTTTGCCCCCTTGTGAAATAGGTTACTGTGATTTCTAGTCGGTCTAATGTATGGTCCTTTCCACCCTGCATAAATTTTTGGCGAAGCAAGAGTTTGGCTTACATTGTTTTGTCGGATTACATCCCCTTCCTCATACTCTTAGAACAATTCATAGTCTTGGCAAAACAGCGATTCTGCTGTTCAAAAGGGGTGATCTATGCAAAAGAGTTAAAAAGTAAGACAGTACTGGACTCATTACCACATAATCTCATTAAATAACAAAAATCAGTGATAACAATATTGTTTACTAAATTCAATATTTTACCTTTCCTCAACATTCTTACTTTTTCTTATAATTAATTTTTACAAAGTCATGTGCGCATGAGTTTGAAGCGCTTGTTCACCTGTTGGAATTAATTGCTGTTTAGAACATCGCTCACTAAAGCAATCAGCGTACCGGTGTACCAATTACAGTGTCGTTGTAACAAGGACAGAACGAGAAAGAAGGATTTTAGCATAGATTAAATTGCGCCAAAATATCCTTCGCCGTCGAGGAGCAGCAAAATAGCGAATAAAACGTGCAGAAACAGATCATTAACGGCGCTTAATTTCCCTGGGGCTTTGACGGTTTATTCACGGTCGGGCTCGTCGACTAAACTACGGCCGACTCGCAGCAAAACGATTAAGAGATTATATGGCCCCATCCCCATCGGCATTAGACGTAATTAGTATAAAGCTTTCGATCCTTTGCAATTGTCTAATGGTTTGCCGAGGAGACATTATTCAACCGCCAAAAGACTTCCTCCATGCTGTGATGTTCTTCGCGGTGAAATTTTGTGTCCTGCCATTTTTTTTACCTCAAAAGCACGTACTCAATCGTGTACCAAGTGAAATTGGGAAAACTCACTGCCCCGCCCTTTGTGACACCCCTTTTGTTCCGAGAATGTAATGAAACAGAACTACATAATTATTTAGGGTATTAAAAACCATCAAACTGTGTTCACAAAATTGGATATGCACAATTGCATGTGTACTGCGCAAAACTGTTGCCATAGCGGGGTGTTCACCCACTTTGGGTTTTAAATGACCACGTTAAACAGCAACCAACAAGAGCGAGCTGTTCTAGAAAGAAAATGTTAATGATCCGTATGACGAGATTGCAGGTCAAGGCCCAACTACGTTGAACAAGCCATCATCAGAAAGCTGTTAAACTATTAAATCAATTGTGTGACACGTTGTGTTTGATCAGAAATCCAAACACGCAAATGAACAACTGCCATCATAAAAGCCTTCATATAGCCTATAGGTTGTTCAGTGTCAAGGGCGTGGTTCAGGGTATGGCAAGGAGGGATTCAGAGTTGGTTAAAACCTATCAACATAATGGAAAGACTTCGTTTGGGACAAAGTGTCAGTGCATTGAGTATAGTGTACCCGTATCTTTTCCCGTGGCAACACAATCATACTGCCATTTCTGCAAAACAGTGCTCCACTTTGCTTTGCATATTATTGGATACTAGTGAATGAAATGAGATTTTAGGATCAACGTTTTATTCAATAAAACGGAAAATGACCAGGAACCCATAAAACTTCCACACTCCAAAGGGATGACAAAACAAAAAGCGCAACTACCACTGCAAAACACATGCATCACGGAAATTGCACATGCCGGTACAAATCGACCTGTTAATTACACAAAGCGTCTGAGAATCAAGTTTCGCTAACAAAAGTCTCAGTGGGTTACTCCTCCGATTGTTTGAAACAAATATGCCCGTTACAGTCTTCAAAGCGGTTACTCTCTTCGGATTGGAGCTATTCTTGTGATGTACCTTTAAAATTTCTGGAAACATTAGGACTAACCGAAATCAAGACGGGATGCAATTTAATGTCTAGCTGATGTTTCTCACCGACCTGCTTCCTGTATCAGTGAAGAGGAGCCCACTCATTTTAAATCAAGTGACTAAGTGCAGTGGTGGACTAATTTCAATTCCTCTGGTTATTTCCTCCTTAAGTTCCCCTTTTTTGAAGGTGGAAAATTGAATAAATCGTTTTTGTAGACTCCAGGCCTTCCCTTGAGACAAAGTACGAGTTCACTGGTCGCTTTAGGGATCATCTTCAAAGAAGAAACTCATTCAGTTCAAGCAGTAGGGAACGCCCGTCCGCAGTTTCTTGTTTTACTGAACGTTTGTTTCCTTTGTTAGTGTGTACATTTCTTTTGAACCTACGTACCTATATACACTGTACACGTCAGACCCTCATAAACTGTTATATTTGGCGAGTTGGTCATCTTGGTACATGTATAGTTACCATGTGACTTGATTGTCATGCTCCTATTAGTCCTCAAAGTTTACTCCCCGGAGTCCCCCTCTAACAAGTTGCACTTTACATTATGTGCAATTCCGAGAATCCGTAGCTAATTTTTATGCCGAGAATCCGTAGATAATTTTTTATGCCGTTGGAACATTTAACGTGGAGTTGTAGATCACTCATGTGAACTGACGAGGGAGTACATAAATATAAGATGAGCCATCGTCACTTTAATTATGACAGGTGACTCATTTAATTTTTTCCTTGTAAATGAACATATAAAAAGCATTTTAATGAATAGATCGAGACTGAATAGATCAAGATAAAGAAATAGCAATCAATTACCGAGTCTGATCTGCAGTGTGGCCTTTGTGGTTTGAGAATTCAGTCCGCGAACCTAGACATACCAGCAACAAAACCGAAAATGGGACATGGAATAATGTATAAGCGTAAATGACCGCGTATTTCTCTCGCGACCCGTCGCTTACCTGCATCGCGCCAGGTGAACACAAGGCCGATCCAGCGCCCGTTGTTTACAGCCACGTCCATCGTCAGTCCGTTCACGTCACGTAGATCGAGAGCGAGGTGCAATCCGTTACGGTCAGCGCGCTGCGTCGCGCTAAAACAAATTACAATTCGATTTTGACAATTGCAAATGCTGACGCACAGACTTCCTAGGTGTCAATCTCAGCAATCTTTGTTGAATTCGATCAAACCTAAACACCATTTTAGCGATGTCCTGAGTTTCATTATGTTATCTTGTGAAGACGTAATTATCCAAGTGAATTTGGTTTATGTTTGTGTATATGTTTAATTTAAAGCGACGTCGTCGTAACTACATAACGAATACCAGATGATAAGAGAAATTTTAAATGCGGCCTCCACTATCATAACAGTGATTGTGGTGATATTATAATGCCGGAAATAGTGTCAAAGATACACACTTTGTTATTTTGTCGTCTTTTTCACTCGTAGCTTGCTTTTTTCGCCTAGCACATATATCAAGATATCCGTTTATGAAAATTGATGTGATCACATTATGGAAATGAGAGGTGTCTTCAAGCAATATTCCTTACCCTGAGCAGGGAGAATTAGTTTGTCACATGAATATGCTACTGAATGTGGGTCATGATCATTTTTGCTCGGCCACCGCCATGCAGTTAACGTCCTTTTGTTATTGGCTAATCTTGTCCTCCGGCTTCAGGGTGCTCTGTCCTAATTCAAGGAAAATTCTCAGCCAGGCCGAGGCGCTTTTAAAAAGTACCCCTGCAAATTCTTTCCAAAAGAGGGCTCTGTGTGGGCCAAAAAATTACGGCATTGTGTAAATTTGGCCTAGGATCATCTCTGTAGATTCAGGGGCACCTATCTGAGGGCAAAACAGATAAAATGTGATTGAAAATTTTTCAGAAGAGCGTGAGAAAGGTGAGGGATGTCATTTGAAAACAGGCTACTGAGAAGACTTGGGAACGTTCACTTTTGGGGGGGGGTGAGTTTGCTTTTGGCGGATAATTAAAAGATTTATTGGTTAACCTACTAAAATTTGAAAATCAAATGAAATCTGAAGGACCAAACTACACATTGTTTTGTTTGAGAGGCCTCAGGGCCTTCAGTTGCTCGCCATGGCGTTCCAAACTTTGTTGATTTTACACTGTTCTCAATCTCAAGCTTGAACTAGTTCAGTGCACCTTTCAAGGCGGTGTAGTTACGAAGTGAGGTTCCCCATTTTTGTCGAATCAGTGGTGTGGAGTCACATGGAAATTGGAAATTTTTGGAACTCAGGATGTCTGTTCCACATTGGGGAAAATTCTGACACTGTTGAAATCGCAAGGGAAATGTCTGTTAGAATGGCCCTTTTTGGACGTCATAACAATTTGATTCATGGAAAATTATATCATTAAGATCCGTCTGTCGTCGTTCATGAACAAAGGTTTCTTAAGACATGTATTGCAAAAGTGACCCAGACGCCTTTTCTTTTCACATCAATACTGAAAACAAAAGAATGAGTGAGTGTCCTGCCAACCGTGGCACGGGACAGCCAGAGTTCTTTGGATTAATCAGGTGCTCCGGAATGGTTTCAATTGGCATTTGTTTTGTTTGCTAACGGGTTCTTGCCGCCTCTTTATCATTTGGACAAACATAATTATCCTCAAAGTGTAGGGTTTCGACGCATGGATGGAGATTTCCCGTCATAAAATTAATTGAATCATTTTTCGGCTATGAAAAAAACCATTCTTGTACCATGTCTGGCTCGTGTCAGTTCAAAACAGGATCGAAAAGTATCAGCGTAAAACCAATAAGCCAGAAGGTTAAGTCATGATCTAGAGTCTGATCGGAGGAGCGGCATTCTCGAAATTGAATTTTTATCTCCGAAGTGCTTCATCGTGGAGGCCGCATGTCTAATACTGGTGTTAACGTTATGATAGATTTGCCGTTCTTTTGAGATGAGGAGTTATCATTTATAATGCAGTAAATGCAGGACAGGCGCAAAGGCACACGACTCTTCACTGTTTACTTCTTGCCTCGTCATGTTTACTAATATCGGCTTTTTGACGCCCACAGTAATGGAACTGTGTTTCAACAATCATCCATGAATCACTCATTTTATAAAAATAAACGGGGAATTTCCGCATGCATACGTTAATTAGGTTGCGCCAAATAGCATGCTCAACTCTTGACTTGGGTGCACATGAAGCCAGCGATTTGGAGTTGCGATGGGACTTATATTGGGGCGTGGTCTACAAAATAAGGGGGTTGTGGATCGATAGAAAGCCAAATTTTCCGGAAACTGTCCAGACCGGGGAGCGGATGAGGAGGAGTTAGAGCGCTAACGGCAACATGCTCTCATCCATGTTTCTAGTTTATTTCTGGCAGTTTGTGGTAACCTACGCTTATTATTTTAGTAAATTCTCACTTTCTAAGCGGTCGGTCACTAAGGTCGTTTGCATAAACCACAATTTCATGTAGTCTGTGTTCTTCTCAAGTGAATATTTCCCCAAGGGAACAGACACAATTCAGTCGAGACCGCTTGTAATAGAACCTCCGTAATATGTCCTCATTATCTGATTTGCTATTTGTAGTCTTTAATTTGGAGCTTTTTTGTTTTTATGCAATGGAAATTACCATATGGAACTTCCCGAAATAAAGATGTATAATGTCTTTTTCATTTTGATCTTACAAAGAAACACGATACTCTAAAGAAACAACAGAATTACAGAATATGCTTTAAAAGTAACACGGAAAGCATTTTCGGCAGCAAAAATTACGACGACTTTTCCTGTTATGTTATTTACCGTTTTTTAAATGAAAAAAATAACGGAATAAACTCTAAATACTTGCTCTTTAAAAAGACGGATAGAGTGAAAAAATTCTGTAAGATAAATCCATAAATTGACTGATTTGTGTTTACAAACTATTTAGTCTGTATTTCAGCGACATAAATTGGAATCAGTTATGTGAAAAGAAATATGATATAAACGTATTTACGGGAGATAATTACTGAACAGCTCGGATAATTTCACTGCCGGAGCCTTTGCCCAGGAAAAAATGGAAATATTTGAACAGTGAGACTGCAACACTCTTCGTTTTGTCTAATACAGTGCGTACGTTCTATTCTGTGTAGAAGATGGGATGGGGTTCCATGCAAGCCATAACATTACAAGGAAGGTGTGCTGCTTCGAATGGAGAGCAGCAACAGGGTTATTTCTTCATTAGTGATTTATGGACAGTTTCTTGGTGAAACGGGTCGAGAAATCTCCATCTTTAGAGTCTGTAAAGATGAGGTGTCGAAAGTAATTCACCAATATATAGCTTGTTGTGAGCTTATTTCGGCTTAAAGGATAACTATGATGAACGTTGATTAACGTTACAGAACACGAAATCATGTGGGTTATATCTGTTGATCTATGCATTCGTCTTCAGATGTGGCACCGTAAATAGCCGTCGTTCCACCACCCGCACACGGAATGCATCGAGCTTGTTGCTCCGAAGGCTGATACGATCCCAGTGGGCAAGGCTGACATGGATGGAGTCCAGTTGCACTGAATGTTCCTGGGCCACAGATAACTGTGAATAGAAGGTAAGTCTTGTAATTTGAATGGATAATTCTTTATTTAACTTTGTCTCAGAGATTTAGGTGGTAGACTGAGATTGCTTCACTCATTTTTTACAATTTGCAAAGCAAGTTTACACTGTCTAGACCTCGTATTATTGTCGCAGATAAAAAAAATGGAAATCAATAGATCGAAATCTGATATAGAAACCGGATATATTCAGTTGACAGCAATATTTTCTATAAAAGAAAGGCTAATAGGAATATTCTCCCAGAGTAGACCTGCCTTGGCAGTCGCTCGGTGACCTAGCTCCCTTTGTTGACGTGGTTGTACCTTCCATACACGGCAAGCAGGCCATTTGCTTGAAGTTGGGCTGGAAGGAACCCCTCGGACACGGTCGGCAAGTGGTCAGTCCAGACGGTGAGAACGTTCCGGGTTTACACTCCACTGCCGTTGCAAAATAAAACGAAGCAGCTCTGTGTGGTCATTGACTTTATTGGCTCTCAATGCGCGCAAGTGGAGATCAGATCTAAATACTGTCGTGTGTTTTCCCTTTGCATATATTCATAAAAACCTCCAAGGCGCTTTACCCATGCCAATACGGGCGATTCACAATAGTGCGCCACCAAGAGTTTGCAACGCGTTGGCCAATCATAACGCGCGAAATTTGTCGACCCTTTCCAAACGTGCATTGGGTCGACAAATTTCGCGCATTGCGATTGGCCAACGCGTTGCAAACTCTTGGTAGCGCACAATTGTGAAACAGCCGTATTGGTTGAGAACCCATAACGCGCCCGTTTGAAATGGTTGATAAAACACCAGCAAGCCGCGAAAGTGGCCCCAGAACGACGACCTACATGCAGATGTATTTCGAGTTCTTAGCTGCTTGGGTGACGTCATAACTTCAACATGTATTTTAATTCAAATGAGCTCAATTGCCTTCCCCCCATGGATGGGTTTGAAGCTTCTTGAAATTTGGGTGAGAAAACGGTTATGTTTAAAACATAACTTGCAACTTGATGTAAAGTATCTTATGCATTCCCTAATCTGTTCTGGTGTGACGTCGTAATTTTGAAATGTGTTTATTTCCAGCAAAAGAACAAAAACGTTCCCCCGGATATGGGTGGGTTTTGAAACCCAAGGAAGTTTGAGGTTAGAAGAGATGGTTAAAACCATTTTTGCAGCGGATTTAACTTTAAAACAGTAAATATAAACGAAAAAATCTAAGTAAATTACCAACATTATGTAAGTCGTTTGTTTACAAACACGTTAAATTCGATTGCATAGGCCTACTCGTGAAGAAGTGTTAGTGTTTTGTATTATTTTTGAAAAATAGAATTTCCAGGTGTTTTCAAATCTCAAGCTTCATTTTTTTGGTTTTTTTTTCTGACCAAACGACCCTCTGGATCACCAACGGCAATTACGAAGTTTTAAGCAGGTCTACAGTCCGGTCCATATAGATAAATAATCTTTACATGTTTTGTAGACTCTGGCCAGCAATTGTTGATAGGAACTATAGCGTTCCCTAAAATTCAGTGTGGGGGACATATCGAATTGAAACTGAAACTTTGCTCACGGCGGCACTCGTTGACGTCCTTGGCTCGGGATCCATCGGTCCATGTCCCCCAGGGACACGGCTTGCATTGATCCTGTCCCTCCTCGTCCTGGTACGTCCCTTCAGCACAAACTTTGCAGGTTTCTGTTTTGCCGTCGAAGTACGAACCCACAGGGCAGCTTACTAACAGTGAAATTAATTAACAACAGATGAGAAATTGTGGTCAAATACTTCGATAACGATCGAGTAAAAGTGGCATTAATTGTCACCTCCAGAACAGTTAATTGTTTCTCGGTTATAATGTGCTGAAGTACATCAAGGCATACACAAGATGTTTGTATGCGTGGTCTGGCTTCCATTCGGTCTTCTATGGAACAAGGTGCAAGTGAGCTTTACCATTTCCACAGAAGGTGCATCATACGTTCCTTTTACGAGCCGAATAACCATCGGTCAATTTGTACTTCACTTTTCAAATTTATGTGCATGGTACATACTACACATTTTAGTTTTACTGCATGATTTCTTCAGCTTTCAGTTGTTTAAAGGTGAAGTCGCTTTCGTGTGTTTATACACTTACTGCAGTCAGTATCATTCAATGCGACGGATCCACGACGGCACAGTGGAGCACTTTTGTTGATCGTGACTGCGCCCTCTACGATGGGAAGGGTTTCACTCTCAATCAACAGTTGCATCTGTCCAACCTGTGCAAGTCGTTCGTAGTCTCGGCTGATTTCATCAAGTGTCTGCCTGGCGTGTTCCAGTTGATCATGGTATCGCGTTTTATCCTACGGAAACCATTACCCGACACAACAAACCATAATTTTCCGAGAACAGAGGAACGATTAGCAAAAGCATAGGCGAGCTTAATACAGACCGTCCTAACTGAGAGGGTGGTATTGTAAACAGAAGCCTCCTTACCGAAGACCGGATCCGAGTTGCCACAGTGAAATCTAAGGTGACGATGTTGCTTAGGTCTGTCTCGTCAGCAAAGACAGTCTGACGGCGTCTTCTTCGCCGCCTTTCCTCGTCAATCTCCCCACAGTACACGGTCACGTACTCAACCCTGCGGAAACACACACCGGCTTTGTCAGACACCTGATGAAGAACATTAGAACTGCTTCTGAACACTTTACTAAGAGGTTGCAAGCAACTTACGTGCATGAGTTATCCATGACGCAGCCACCGTGTCTTCCCATTACGCTCTCCCTGAAGTCTTCAACGAAGGCTTCTTTGATGGCTTGAACCGTATTTTCGAGCGAGCAGTCCCTCACGTAGTACTGGGATGTCATACCCCGTTGGTACCCGTCTGCAGCTGCTCTTTCTAGGTGCACATTCAACATGAACTTTTACATCAACTCAATTGAATTGGAGCGGCGCAACGTCCGCAAAAAGGATATAATTATTCACTGCTACCTAACTAAAAAACTTGGCCATCGGTGGTGGAAACTGGCTTCATACCGATAGACCACGGCATCCATAGGCAACTCAGTGATTTTGTGATACAGTCTTTGCTAAGTCTCACTGATATCTTTGCCCGTCTGTCTCTACTCACAAGTATTCCCTGAAATCTTTGGATCTGAAATCCACTGGGTATGAGTATTTTAATCACAAGCTGAACATGAATAAAGGATTCAGTTGTGATAAAAGTCTCATGTAGAATCCACGATCGCTAGCCGCGGTCTTTGGTATTGGCCACTGTGTCGCTTGTACTTGGAACGCACGTGTTGGTGGTGTCGGTTCCACAAGATTTTAGAGTGCTCACACTGGGCAAGATGTGAAGACTGAAACGATTTCCAGGTGAAGGTGAAAACTCTCCACCGTCTAAAAATACACCTACACCGTCGATTTAGTCGCAATTACTTGCTCTGATACCGTCACCACCAATCTCCCCAAAGTGGTTTGGATTGCGAGGACGATTGGGGCGTATTAGCCTTGACAATGAAAGCATTCTCACCCGAGCAATCTGGCCAAGGCGTGGCCCGGCCAGGTGGTTGAGTTCGCCAGCTACCCCGAGAGCAGACATACCATTCAGCCGGCGTCTCGGCGAACTCAAAAGCCTCGTTGCAGTAAACCCGGCAGAACTGACCAAAGAGCCACTGGTCACAGGCCCTGAGGCCGTTACGCGGGTCCGGGTAATTTGGACATGAGGACGCTAAAACGAAAACAGGATTTAACGTCTTCGAGACTTTAAATTCTTGAAGCAGTCTTCTGACTTAAATAATAAAACGAATTCACTAATACGAACCGAGCGGTCAAAAAAAACAAAAAAACAAACAAACAAAACACGCCAAACGATTATTAGTATCCCAATTGCGGTCTGAGTCCTGAACCCAGAAAAAACATAACTCACGTCCAAGGCGAATCGTGAAGCGACATTCGCCGCTCAGTCCTGCCCCATCTGTAGCTGTGTAAGTCACGATATGGGAACCCCAAGTCAACTCATCCCCTTGCTCGTGTGACTGAAATGAAACAAAAAAGTTTCTGTTTTTTTCTAACACTGTATTTTATTTACTACTGACTAAAGTAAACACCCCCGCTTCAAATCCCAGGTATGATCGGAGAAAACAACGGAGGAAGTGCTTACTTTTCCGTCGGGATAACGCACCTAAGCTTAACTTTTGATATACACTGGCCCAGGCCTGAACGGAACCACATAGAACAGAACGTAAGAATTATATTGCTTCTCGATATTCAAATTGCACTTAGTCTAGTGTTAGGCCTACTTGGAAAGCCAGCATCAATAAAGCCAACAACACTTTGCGTTTGTCGGGTTTCACAGAAGTAGTTTTGCAGTAATAGGATTGTTACTTTTAGACTTACCTTGACGATATGAAGCTCTTGGTTCGAATTATCAGCGAATTCAGGCTCATCCCACGACACGGCTTTGAATGTTTTGGAGGAGACGATGTCAATAATTGGCCCAGGACAATTTTCCACTGTCGGTGGCTGTGTGTCTGCAGGTGTTATAATAAGGGAACGACAAGTGCTTAACTGCAGTAGCACTCTTTTCATCCGATTCGATTTCGAGCAAGAATTCTACAAGGATGTTGGCATCGCTTTGATCAAAGTGGCCAACCGATCACTGCATCACACTCAATCAGACGGTTTTTTTCCACCATCTTCTAATGTTAAGCATTTTCTATTAGATTTTAAAAAATCCCATGGGACTCGCAAACAGAACGTGGGGATTTCAGTAAGGCGTGTTCGCTCTTCCAAATGTTCAACACATTCAAGATTCGGAATTCGAGCAACAATCTGCAAAAGCCTCAAGTACTGTAAGTTAATCAAGTTGGAGACCTTTAGGCCTGTGGGGATACATTGTCGTGTGCATGGATATCGAGGCTGCGTGAAGAACCCACAGTCGATTTCAACCCTTCTCATGGTGTTCACACATCATTTCTCGGTCCTTGTCGAACATTGACTAAAAGTAACCTTGACGCGTCAATGCCCGAGTGAAGCTGGGTTCCAGCTTTTCTAGTGTGTTTGTACCAAGGCCCTATTGGGCTTTGACCCGGTTTCAGCCCTGTTTCCAGCTCTTCAATTCAATCTAGCGTGATTTCACACATTGGATCAGTAATGTAGTCATAATCACATAATTTCCCTTTCTTCCTTGAACATATTTCTTTTCGAGGCAACCACCTGGAGAATATATGGCCATTACTTACCTTGAATGTCTACTCTGAAAAAGCACACCGAGCTTAGGGCGGCCCCGTCCGTCACCTTGTAAGTGACCACCGTGGAACCGATCTCAAAGCGATGAGGGGATCTCATACCGCTTGGACTGACCGTGATGGGGAAGGCTTCTGCTCCTTGCAACCTGCCATGGACAGTTGGCATGTCCCAGCTGACCTCAGTAGAAGAAAGTCCTAGATCGGCTTCTACGATCACTGAGTCAGGACATGTTATTACTAGTGGGACTTCATCTGAAACCCAAGGTAGATGATTGCGGAAAAATCTTTAAATTGTTAGATCTGTGTGTACGGTTACAGTTTAGTGCATAAAATTCAGAGTGAAGACATGACCAACATTGCTTCGATATTGGTTACTGCTTTGTACAATAACCAGTTAAGGTAACACAGAAGCTATGAAGTATTAGCCCTACACTACTCACTACATGAATGGCCATCCGGCTGTAATGCAAATCCACTGAAACAACTGCAGAGGAAAAAGCCTGGTGTGTTGTGGCACGATTGCGCACAGCCGCCATTGTCAGACTCGCACTCGTTTACATCTGACAGGTAAAATGTAACAAAAATGAAAAGAAATGTAGGAGCATTAGCACACAAGCTATAAGCTTGAAATGTTTTTTTTTCATTATATCGGTCATTTTTTTGGCTTTGCTTTGCTGTTTAGTAGCTGTGAAAATCATGATCTTCATGGAATTGTATCCTTACCGTACTCACAACTACGACCCACAAAACCCGAAGTGCAGTTGCATGTTGCCGTAGGACCGTCATTTACACAGATGCCTCCATTCAAGCATGTGACTGACAGGCACAGGTCCTGCTGTTCACATCTTTCTCCTGAAAACCGACAGTGAACAACAGGGTGATGATTGTGACAGGACATTCCCCAGGAATGACACCTCTTTTTTGTACATTTATTTTGATGTGTAATTTGATTCTTATCCAAGTTCAAATTGGGACCTCACCTGAATAACTCGGAACACACGTGCAGGACAACACTGAACCGTTGTCATGGCAACTGCCGCCATTAAGACAGGTCTCAGGGGCACATGATGCACTCAGGAATTCACAGTTTGTACCATGATAACCCAAGGCACAGTGGCACTTGAAAGAGCCAATCAGGTCGAAACACGTAGCACCATTGCGACACGTCGACGACTGGCAGTCATTTATATCTGCATAAGGAGTCAAAACATGTTCACTTGCGTGTGTGCTTGAGAACGGCTGTAGCAAATTTGGTACAAAATCTTCATACCGTACCTGGACAAAGATGCGAGCTCTGAACAAGGATGACATCTCCTTGGATACCTGTAGCAACATGTGACCAGGCAAGCACGTTACCCGATACTGCACATGACGAATACACTGTTGTTATCTCATCAGGTGTCATGGCGTAGTCCCACATATTCAACTGTAAGAAAGAAAGTTGGTGTTATTTTGTCCTCTTATCAACTTACCGAACTACCACCACTGCGCTGAAGGTTGTCTTTCATCTCACCCTGCCTATTTGGTGGCTTTGTATTTAAATTATGTCGGGCCGATATGTATAATGTCTCTTAGGTATACCTTTGTAACGAACTAGTTATATGTACTAGTTTATTTTAGATATTTTATTTTAGTTTCGTTTTACCAGGTAGGCTTATCAGATGTCAATGAACTGTTTTCCTTGCCGGCCCTGGGTATTGTGTTATAAACGTAGAAAAAAATCAAACTAAGTCACGAAGTAAATGACATATCAAGGTTTCATGTCCAGGAGGGGAAATGGAAATTTCCTTTGTGAAAACAACCGAGCAAAATGTTTTCAACCGTAAAAGAATGCCCCAATGAAAGATATTTCCGTCTCTGAAATGATGGCAGATTCTTATGCCATTTTTCAAAAGATGAGCCTTACCTGGCTTAAATCCCCTACAAAGGCCTGGGTCTTAGCGAAGGAACCTCCGTAGCTGTCTTGTTCCTGTCCCAGGACCAGCACACCCGATCCCTGTATGAAGGAACCAGTCTTGAAGTCATAACCGGACCGTCTGACAGTCCCGTCTACATAAATGGCCCAATGGCCATCTAGGCTGGCCCAAGTGATGGCAACGTGATGCCAGTTGCAGTCACTGGTGGAGAACAATTGTATAGTGACATTCGTGTACATAATATCCGTAACTTCAATGTCTTTTGAAAATGCTTGATGTCCATTAAGCTTGCGTCTTGTAAAATGTAGATATGGACTCTAAAAATAGTACGTTCAGGTTAGCAGCCACAAAACGAAAACGTAAAAGAAGTGAACATTAAGCGAATGCGTCTCCCACCCGAGATAAACAATAACATGTCAGAAGACGCCACGTAAAGGTCAAGTAACTGCTGATCCCTAACGGTTCCTGTATGTTCATTCGAAAATATTTATGTCTCTGCTTAGAATATTGCCTTTTGAGAGCATTAATTTGATTTCTATCTCGGAAACAAATTCATGGCGCATAGTGCACGTGAACTAGGGTTCCTCATTTTCTATTTAGATGCACGAAAAGTGCATAGTGATTTGGCAAGTTTTGGATGGACCCTCAAAATCAAAGCAGAAGACAATTGAAATGGCATTGTTCTACATTTGACAATTCTCCTGCTTCCGTAGATATTTATAATCTTAAATTAATTCAAGATTCCCCCCCTTCACTCCCCAGAGCAAAGTTACCTTGGAACAGCTTGGACGAGTCAATATTCAGTCACTGGTTAGTGGTTACTGGTCGTTACACACTGAACAATTTTATGAAGCATTTAAGCAAAAACCAATTAAACACACCTCCAAAATATTACACAGGCCTACCTGTTGAGCTTCTCATCCATGTACATAAACTCCCCGTTGATAATAATAGCCAAGCTGTTGTAGTCAGTGACAGTGAAGGCGTTGTCTTGCAGCGTGCCGTCTGCCTCACGCGTCGCATATGACAAGGGAGTCCCGGCGTTTGTCTTGTCAGTGGTCCGCATCCAGAGGGCCAGCGTCAGAGCATTGAGACTTGGCATGGTGCCTCGTAGCATCACGTAATCTGATGTGCTGGCCGTGGGGAACAGGAGGTCAAAGTCGCTAGAGAGAGCTGAAAGCATCAAATGATCACGCAAAATAAAAATCATGATAACGGTATACAATGTACCCGGTACTTACCGTCGTAGTGAGTTTTATCAAGTCATATGTAAGTTGTATCTCCTGTCATATGGCTAATGTAAGGGTCAAACCCCACAGTGACATATTTAGAATTCAAATCAAGAACTTCATTTTCAGTTTCTTCGATTTTGTCTAAATTTATGTTCGGAATATGTCTCATATCCTTGATATTTTGGTATAAAGTACGCATCAAAATATCTCATCGTATCGTACCATAATATCTTCACGCATGGGATACGACCAGCTATTGAATCACTGTCATTCTTTGTCAACATTTGAAGTTTCCTTGAAAGTTGTTTTTTCATGTTATTAACTCTTTGACAACAATGTCTGCTGAGCTTGAAACCACGTGCNGGGTTCTCCTTCAAATATTACTGCTGGGCAAGACACGTGCGACCTATTCAAACCTTACGGCGATGCAACCAATCTATGCACACGTTTTGATGCAGCAACGAAGCAAGTCACTCCTATTATATTTGAAACTTTCTTGCAAGGAAAATATTGTAAAAAAGACTTATAACATGAATTGTATTAATAAACAATTATTGACTGCCATTTTATATTACACTATATCGTATTGTAACACCTCACTCACAGATTCTGTGTCTTGATTGGCCGAAAGTGTGTCATGTGACGCTTGCTAGTTTTACTATTTTTATACCAACGCTTCAAAAAGACTTTACCATGCAGCCTCATTCTGAAAAAGAACTATACCCGTAGCAACCAAAGAACTGTATCCGTTATAGCAACGAAAGCATAGGCGTGTATTTCGGCTCATAGCGAACAACATTATTTAATGAATGTATTGAAACGTTACTGTTACGCTTTCAATTCTTGAATTAAATTTGATGAATGTAAATTCCAGTTTGGTGTTTCATTATTGATTTGCCAAGAATTTTGTTCAAGAATTTTACTTTTATTTTTCCCAAATACCCGATCCACTCTAAGACTACAATCAATAAATTTACTCGTTGATCTTCTTTATAATGAAGATCAATGGATATATTCCTTGTGCAGAGGACTTGGCGTGCCTGTGGTGAGTTAGTTCTGCGTGCCATGGTGCACACAGACTCTCGACCAGAGAGATCATAGGGTGCGTTTGATTAGCTTACACGCGTAAGTCAAACTTACACGAGAGCGTTCGTTTAGCCATCACGTGATCTTTGTGCCTGCCTTGGTGTCAGTCACCACTACCCCGGCTGGCGAGCAGGTCTCTGGAGGCTGCCCGCGTGTAATGACGTCACGGATGGACTGTTCGAGCGTGGACATGATGGAACATGGCGGGGACTTGACCTTTTCCCAGAATGCCTTGGCGAATACACTGCAGCGTTCGATTAGCCTCATTTCGAGGCTTCCCTTGCGTGTAACACTAGTGTATTCAGGGAAGCCAATCGAACGCACCGTTAGTAAAGTAAATGCTCGTCACGTCTCATGCGCTCGTGCGCGGTTTCATACGTACGCGTAGGCATCTGCGACGTTCCAAGTTGTTCGTGCGTAATGGGTCAATTTTACGTGCCCTGCGTCACCTCTACTAGTTCTACTTATGATCTCTATGCTCTTAACCAATCTGCCCCACAGACGTAGATCACGGAAAACACCAGCTCCTATTCAAAACTACAGGAGTATTCCGTGATCTACGCGACTCCCGACTAATAGGGAAACTGTCAAAGGTATTTATTAATAGTGTTTAAATGTAGGCCTACCATGCAGGGAAATTTCAGAAACTCCTCTAGCTGGCCTTTATGTACTTGGTCCTATATTCTCCTGAAACATCCTCTTGGGCTTTTGTCTACATCATTGGGAGCTAGGTATGGGCGTCTTCAATCTTGGTCACAGTGTGGTTGTATTTAGTAAGTTAAGGAGATTTGCAGTAGCACCGTAGGACCCTTCAAGGATATCTCTTTCTGAGTATGTATGCTTCTGAAAAGGACCCGTGGATACTCAACATTTCGGGCAGTGTGCTGGGTGTGGTTGTGATAATTGTCCCTGTGTTGATGGATGTATAATGTGCTTTGGCAGGTCGTTCCACAATTTCACAGTCTTCGGCAAGACTGAAGTCTTGAATGCTGTTGAGGATGATTGTGGTATATTGAATTGGTTATTGTTTCCCCTCCTGGATCTCTGTATTTTTGGTTTAAGATGTTCTGAAGTGTCGATGTCCGTGGCTCGAGTATATTTCAAAAGTTGAGTCATCCGGTGGGCTTCATTTGTATCGATTAATCTCTCCCAGCGCATGGACAACAGCGTGCTGGTGACAATACTCTTCCTTGAGTAGTCTCCATGAACAAAACGTACTGCCCTTTGTTGGACCCTCTCAATTGCACACCGTGACAACGTTATAAGGGTTCCATGCAGCAACACCGTATTCTCAGTGTGGCCGGAATTATGTAAAGTATAACATTTCCTTGATCTTTCTGGAAATCATGTGAAATTTCTTTAGTGATGGCATGCCACATCTGAGTTTCCCGTCCCAAGTCATTTTGAAGGTTTTATCGCCAAGTACGTGAACTCTTAATTTCTTCAAGGTGCACACTGTTCATCTTGTGTGAGGCTTCATCAGGGTGTTGTTTACGAGACACTCTCATCTTTTTATATTTCCCAGCAATGAATTGCATACCCCAAGTGGCGGCCCATCCGATGAGGTTGTTGACATCAGCTCACATCAATAATTTCTCGTCTTCCTTGGAATTTGATGATATATGAGACAGTCATCGGCGAATAACCTTGTATTTAAACACTCCTTACAACAGAGTGGATATCATTATGAAAAGACGGACTAAAATGTCGTCCCAGAAGAGTCCCCGTCCCCTGTGGTACACCACTGAGAACTTAAAGCTATCTGAAGAATTCGCAATTGATAACAACTCTCTGCAGCCTTTTGCAAAGAAACAAGGTTATTTGGTGTTTGATTTTGCCCCTGAGTACCATAATAATGGATCTTTTGAAGAGGTTTCTGGTGTGGTATCACATCGAACGTATTTGGAAACTCTAAAACTGCTTTATCACCGGTACTGTTCGGTAATAACACTGTAAACATCCACGTGTGGAATTATCCCTGGCCAGCCGATTCAACACTGTGTTAAGCTTCATTTGTTTTTCCTGGTGCTTGGTTTAGGAATCCATAGTTTAAACAAGTGTGCACTGTCACAACTATTACGGTTTACTGCGAGTCGGTACCCAGACGCCGCGCATCTACAGTCGTATGTGTATTAAAAATTGGCCTTTGCAGAAAGCAGACTCTTGGCATTCGTTGCGGTCTGTATATTAAAAGTTCAAGTAAGACACATGGGAAATACCGCCAGGCAAAGACACTGCTGTGGGCAAAGGCAGCGGTATGAGGCTCAGGTGTTTTTAATCCAGTTCTGCATCCAGCACCATACCAACCTAACTTCCATTTCACTTTTATAACGCGTGATACAGGTTTTCCAGGCCAATTTCGGAAAATGCGCGATTTAATTTGTAAAATAATAATTCAATTTGGCATTCGTTGTGGTCTGTAGATTGCAAGTTCAAGTAAGACACACCGAAGGAATTAGAGTAACTATGGAAGGGAATAAAGTATAATGGAAAGCCTTTTCGGATGTACCGATTTTGTAAAATTTCCATTTCTTTTGAATTTTGAACATGTACAATTTATTTTCATAACATGCAACAAACGGTTTTCATGTATTTCTCGTCCAGTGCCATATTACAGTTTATTACTCTTACTAATAAATTAGCTATATATCCCAAAGCTTAAGACATATTTGGACTTAAGGGTAAGTAGCTCGAGGAACTAGAAAGTCCCATCTCTGAATCTGTTTGTACATCATTCAAGACCAACCTACCGATACAGCTAGCTCCATTTAGGGCAAGCTTGTAACCGTCTGCGCAGGTGCAGATCTTCGTTCCGTTGGGCTGGGAGCAACTCAATGAGCCTGTTCCGCAGTCACATGGCTTTACTACATAAAGGTTATCAAACGGGGTATTCTGTAATTTATTACGAGTGAAAGAATAAAAGAAGGCATTTTTATGAAGAAAAACGAAAGATGCCTATTAATTAGGCACGTTGTAGACAACTCGTGTTCTGCCAAACAGATGATCTTCAGTAACCCTTGGAATTTTGAACCCTGTTTAACATTAACAAATGTAACTTTCTTAATCGTTTATCCTCAACCTCCAACAACACTGCCTTCGCAGGCTCGTTTGTCTACCGCTCGGCGAAGACACTGCTGTCTGCAAAGGCAGCGGTATGAGGCTCATGTGTCCTTAATCCAGTTCCGCACGCAGCACCATACCAACCTAACTTCTATTTCACTTTTATAACGCAATGCCTGTTACTTATAAAACAGCCTCACAAAAGTTTTTTCAAGACTACCTTCGCAAGACCGCTGGTCTGCAGCGAGAGGAAGCCACCTTTGGGGACAGTGACAGCGATATGAGCCGATGGTATTGATACATGCCTCCTGGCAGTCGGCTAGACTATCTTCGCTCTCTTGGCACTCATTGATGTCTGTTGGGAATAACCAGTTGTAAATTTGAGTTACAAAGGTTGCCTAGTTTAATACAGGTTTTCCTGGCCAATTTCGAAAAATGCGCGATTTAATTTGTAAAATAATGATTCAATTTGGCGTCACGGTAGATTTTCAAAACGACTTACAACCTGGTTTCATCTTCAGGATATAAAAACCATTCGATTTAGTTTTGCATCCTTCAAATAAATGAATATGTATTATTTTCATTTAAGAGGTTACAAATAGGATTTCGGTTTGACTGTTCACTGCCAATTGTTCGCTGAAAATCTGCCTTTTACCATGGCCGTCTGGTATTGAGTATTCATTTTCACTTAAATGAAAGTGAATACTCAAAACCGAATTTGAATCACAGCAATTAATTCATACTCGCAAAATATACGTTCCAGTTGATTAGAATATACAAGGCTGACACCACTCTGATAATGAATGTAATGTTTCTCATAAAGGATTATAGAATATTTTGGTATCATACTGTACACAATTGAGGTCTTAATGATTGACCATTGCAAGAAGGCCTGTGTGAACTTGGACTTCGCTGTATGATGTGCTCGTGACAAAACGTGGCACAAGAAGGAAGGTTCCCTCAGCGCCGGTGTTCTATACAGGAGTCGTACAGTTGTCTTTTCAAAGACATCATGAAGGGTTTATTTCAATCATGAATGTTCCAACATTTACATATCAGCTAACCAAACATTTCTAAGAATGTAACTTATGTTAGCATAGAAACGAATTCCAATTCGTGACCAGGAATACTTTAGATAACACCGCCCGCGAAATTGCCTGCATATTGCGAAAAAAGATTGAGTTCAAATCAAGAGGAATGCAGGATTGCAAAGATGCATTCGATTTCGCACTAAAATGAAAGTCAGCATACTAAACGAGCGCATTATCGGGAAATTGAACACTGATTCTATACGACTGAATGCAACCTCATTGCAATAGAATTTTATTTACATAGAAACATCAGTGTTCATTCTACACGTATTTCGCTCGAAAACGAATGCTGCTATTGCTGTTCATTTATGCATTTTCCGAAATTGGCTAGGAAAACCTATATTAGGACTCGCTCTAAGGAAAAAATTCAGTAGCGCGCGTGCACTATGGTCATACTCGAACGACCCAAGTTGAACTCGTATTTGTTATCATTACCTACATTTTGCCATTGGTGGAACCACTCCGGTGTTCATGACCGATGACATTCAGTGCAATTAGTTTCATGTAAATGGTTCCTTTTATACTGATAAATGACAGAAGCTAATGATAGCCATTGGTGAAACCATGCACCAGAACTGGTTCCAAATGGTTGACTATAATGGTCCACATAATTTATCATTCGGGCGATGTTTGGTCAACTTATAGTTAACTACAGTGTTCGCTTAAATTTAGCAGGACTGGTCATAGTGACCAAAAGCAAGGCCCGTAACAGTTTCAGATTAAACCACAAAGTATGAAGTACCATCACATCTAGTTCCATCGGAGCTGGCTCTGTACCCACGAGCACAGGTACATCTCTTTACTCCATCGATTTCTTCGCATCTAGTAGAGCCTCTCCCGCAATTACACGGCGGTTCTGGATCCGATATAAGAGGAAAAGTTAAGGGAAATTAATGATCCCATACAACAATAATGGGAGATTTTGTTTCCAGACGTTTTGCTTGACGCTGACTACAATAGATCGGTCAAACCTTCCCTTTAAGTCATTTCGAAGCTGTATGTTAGTTAAGGTTCAGTCTTTTTATTTTGACCATGCAAATAAAGCAATTTTATACTTAATAATACAACGTAGGCCGTCAATACTCCGGCGGTATTCATTATAACAAACGCACGTAGGCCTGGTATCATAAAGTCGCACGCATCGGCCGTGTGGACCACAGTTGCATTGGTCTTGATTTCCTGAAAAACATTAATGTTACAAGTAAATTTCTGCTTTAGCCAAATAAGGAGCAACTGCACCGCCCATTTCTGATATCACGTCCTTTTCTCCATTGTTTAAACATAAAGCTTTCATGGCTTCCATATTTAAAATAAAAATTCTTGTCTTGGCGATCACTTCCTTTTTCCGCGTTCAGTCATTTCATAATTTATTTGTTTATCAGATATTTTTGTGAAATATGTGTTGGACGATTTGTCAAAGCAAAGTCTCTCACTGTGTGTAGTGTTTGAGTATTAGTAAAACTTTTCCGAGTTTGAACAGGTCGCTGATCACATTGGCCGCTCATCGTTCAAAACTCAGTTCTCAAGAGCTGCTTTCTTTCATTCATAATATTTTCTCATCAGCCAAAATGTCTTGTATCTTTTCTCTTTTGATACCGGGTGCCACCCTGTCTAGCACGCAATATCCGTATTTAAACAGTTGACCGAAAAGTAGATTTTTGACACAACGTCAGAAGACTAGAAGTAGTGGTAATAACAATAAATTGGTGTTGGTATTGGCTAAATGCGTTCATGTATGGCCCGGGGCAAAATACAAGTTCAGCCTTTGTAACAACGTCGGTAAATACATAATATTTTCGAAAAAAAGAATTAAAGGTTTCTGTTGTTACTGTTTTGATCGGGCATAAACAGATGAAAGGGTGAGCAATGCTGTGAATGTGCTTGAGCAACTTACGTAAACAGCTGGTTTTGTCTTGTGCCAAATTGAATCCTGAGTGACAATAGCAGGAGAAGCTTCCAGGTCTGTTATAGCATATGTGCTGGCATGGACCTCTGCCATTGTTGGCTAAACATTCGTTGACATCTAGACAGATATAAACGAAGAAAACATTTGATCAGAGTGTTTCGTTTGCGTATTGATGAATTATGTATAATGGGATTCTTTTCTTTATATACTTCCAAGGTTGTTGGGGTTTATTTTTGTAAGATATCGAACTGTTTTCTTAGAAAGTAACGACAGACTGTAGGGCTAGGCACATTTTGCCCCGTACCGTTTGGATCTGACTCTTCTCTTCCAGAAACAATAATCAATTGCGTTGTTGCAGAGAGTATATCTAGAGTATATCTGCTATACTATGACCTTGAAAACAAAATGTGGATATCAGTTCGTGTTGTACCTCGGCAAGTCTTGCCGTCTGTACTTGCTGGTTGGTATCCGTCCCGACACGAGCAGACTGCACCGTCTGGTCCATTCCTGCAGATATGCTGGCATCCTCCATTATTGTAGCCACAGGTAGCTATGATGTAGGAAATATTCACACTTAGAATAATATTGTGGATGTTTTTTGTATTCTTTCATGGTTGTGAGTTTATTCTTGTCCTGTGCATGTCCATTTGAATTAACAACTCCGATCGACTTTATAAAGAAACCCACAGTTACATTAGAAAGTAATACTTTTCATTGCAGGAAGACACAAACGGTCTGGTACTGACNATTTAGGGGGAAAATACACGAAACCCACAGAAGAGCACCAAGGAGATTGTGGTGATCAAAATTCCATTCAAATATCTTGTTTCTTGTTTTTGCTGCCTGAATTTTCCCAAAGGCAAAGCGTTTCACACCGTAACTAGTTCGTTATTTTTAATTCTTAAGAACTTAGAATTTAATCCGTGCTAGATTATGCCTACTCAGATGTAGTATTGCCAAGTTGCTCAATTCCAAGGCAACAAACGAATTCAATGTGGGTTACAATATTTACGTTTTAATATTAGGTCACATTAGGCCTACGCTTGTATTCTTTCACACAGTGTGACACTATTGACATTCTTTTTAACGCCCGAAAGGAGAGAAATATAGAGACACGAAGTTGAATTTTCAGATTTAAACAATAATTACTTTGCCATACATACCTAAACATGCAGGTAGTGTCCCGACAACATTACCACCGGAGCAGTACACGGCGTAGTTGGCTGGACGCAAAGTATGGCCTGGGTGACAGCTGTAAACTAGAGCGTAAAACAGTCTACCCTCTGCGTCCGTTCTGGGCGAATATCGCAGGTCCGCATTGCTCACTGTAGGTATGTTATTACCGCAGTGAGTGCCATCTCGTACCGAAGCAGGATAGCCACTACTCGACTGCATGCTTGTACATGTTGGTAAAGTCCCGTTCCATTGCCGACCTTTGCAGTACAGCACTGATGATCCCCTCAGCTCGTACCCAGCCTGACAGTCGATCTGAAGTATAGCCCCAGACTGTTTGATGTTGATGAGACCATTCTGAACGCTGTCTGTTCTTGGAATGACACAGCCCCTGCCTGTGATAAGCAGAAAAGCTGTTTCTTTTTATTCGTTTGGGTATGAATGGTCGAAAAGGAAAAGGGTTCTCTGAATGACAATCTCAGTCATTTTCCCTCGATTTAAGGAAGAATGCCATTTAGTTTTTAACGAGATGGTCCGTATTATGGGTTATTGTCACTTGCGCTAAGTGTCCCATGTGTGCTCCAAACGTCATATCCCACATCACATGCAGTCAACGATTGTTTTGTCATACCCTGTCTTGACGAATTTATCCAAAGAAGCAAGCCCTGAATTTCAGAATTTCAGAGAGATAGAGATAGGTCTACGGTCAAACTGTATAATTAACATAACAGACGTAAACATGTTATCTGCGAATGCACTGTTCCCTCACTTTCTTTAATTACATAAACTTTAATGTGGAAGTAGTGCAGGTATCAGTGAGTACAAGTTCACATGTCATGTAGTCTGGTTAGCGGTCCCTGCATTACCTAATGCGCAGCGGGGACGGGAACGAGTCTGTTATACTAGCGCGACCATTAATCACATTCCATGGTAGCCTTTGCACAAAACGTATCATGGGTACCCCGCAAAACTGCCTAAATAAGCGACATTGATTACTCTTGAACTTCCCGAAGCTCTTCTGTCTCGTGCACATGTGGTGTGACATTGGCAGAATGAAATGTCTCACGATGAATGTGATATGTGGAGGCATCGCTCTGGGCCAGTGAACAGAGATTATCCAAGACAGAGTTATGACTTCAGAACATGACCGTTTTACAGAATAAAGTACCCATTGTCGAATCATTGGCAGGGCGAACGGGCATATTTCTTCCTATCTCCTCTGTCATTGATAAGTCTGGTGTTGTACTAAACGGCACTTCATTCAAAGATAGTAAAGGGGACAATTCACGTTAGCAGCGTTTCCCAGATAATTGTTCATTTCTACCATAGGCCTTCACTACATGAACACCCACAAGCTTTTCTGTAGTGTGAATCAATTTGCAGGCTGAACTGCAAGGGAACCATTTCACAACCATGTTTTTTTACAGATTTATTTGTGATATATTATTTAAAAACGGGACTTTAAAAAAAAAAGTGATACCAATATTCATTTAAAAGCAGAAAAGCACCTGCAAACTGATTCGAAATGCAATGGTTTGGACTGTTGAAGTAAGTTAAAGATTTTATAGCTGTCGGGTAAAACATCGTCACCATTCACATTTTTTTTGGTTTGTTTTGTCCTGTTCTTATCTTACGTATGCAAACTCCTGGTGAGCCGATCCATTGCCCATCTGCACTGCATAGAATGCTGCCTCGCCCCAGTCTCCGTCTGTAGCCCGGTTCACACGTGTAGGTAATCAGTCCCTCAGAGTGCGTGGTCTGTCTTGCATTCTCTACGTGTGGAGCTGGTCCACACGGAGATGATGAAGCCCTCACACACCGTCCTGGCTCGTTACGCCAGCGAGCACCATCGCAGTATATTACCATGGAACCCTCCCACTGGCGCTCGAACCTAGCATTACAGCGATAGAACCGAACCGTGCCTCCGTTGAATCGCTGTACAGCGGAGTTCTCTACAGTAGGTGCGTCTTCCTCTGAACACCCACCAGCTGATAAAACAAAAGAAAGTCCAGTCAATAAAAACTCACTGATGTTGATATATCAACCTTTAAAAATCGACGAACAAGCTGGTCTGTTTTTCATCGCTGATGGAATGATTGCGTCGATGAGATGCAATGTCGAATATTTCGGTTTTTTCGCTTGCCTTTGGTGAACTCCATTAAGATCCACTTTGTAAAGTAATTGAACCTGTACCTGCTGTATTGGATGAAACCAAGCCAGCTGACCCCAACAGGCTTTGTGATGTGGTCAAATTATCAACACATGCATGATGGAAGCCAAAGATTCGACTAGTCCAACCCGAGTAAGCCCGTGATCCCTTAATTGTCGCAGAAAGTACTCAACATGCAGTGCTACATCAAGTATAGAGCACAATGCAAATATTCAGGTCTTTCCAGTGTCAACCAACCTTTGGGGGCGTTTAGGACTCATGATTTGTTGAGCAGTTTCAATGCCATTCACTTTCAAGTCCACGATGTGCATTCCGTTAACTTTCAATCGCAATAAACTACAGAAAAAAAATCGAGACGTTTGAAATACTGACTAAGCTGGAGCAAAAAAATGGGCCTTGGCTTATACATGTGTATTTCCCAATAAATGTGCTATTGCTGATGTTTCATTTACTCGAGCAGATTGGTGTGCTCCCGTTCCATATTCCGTCTCGGCAATGTCTTGTGCGATCACCAAACGTGTACATCATGAACCCATCGTCACAGAGGTATGCAATGGAAGTGCCACGGTTGTAGGTTTCATAGCTGCCGTTCTCGATGCTTGGTGGCTTGCTACAGCGGAGTCTCCCATCTTCCCCCGAATCAGTCGGTTTGGCTGCGGCTAAGTCAGAAAAGCGTGCGGTAAAACACTGCACGATGTAAAAATCTAAAGACAGCGATAGAAAGATTTGTCTTGGACTTCCTTTGTCACCCTACCAATTGTCACCTTGGAAGCACATTTTTAGGTCAACTTTAAGTTTTACTAACTTCTCCAGCAACTGTAAAAATTAATTTATACTGGCGGCAGACTCAGCGAAAAATAAAGAAGCGATAATTGAGAAAGACATACGCGTGTCACTTTATCATCGTTTCAATGACAAGTTGGTCTAAAAATCGTTGGTACAGAGTCACATTTAGCATCGTACTCACGTGTGCAAGGCACCTTCATGTCCGGGGAGCCTTGATGTCCCGGTAGGCACTGGCAATCACTAAGGGATGTGCTGCCCTCTGCCGCCGTAGTAGAGAGAGTGGGGCAACTGGTGCACCCCTGATTACCGTATTGTGATTTGAAGGTACCGTTGGGACAAGCTGTCGGCAAAGTGAGAATAAGAAGTACTCATGGCTGTGTCCATCATGTAATCCAAGATCAAAACCTGAAGTACGACTCTTACTAAATCAAATAACAAAAGCTGTCGAAGGTTTGTTTTATAAGGCATTCTATTTCGGTGATACATGCACGACGTGTCTTATAGGATCCTTTAATGTGCATAAACACGAAGTGGATTGTAATTGTTTTACTGCTTTAAGTTTATTTTATTTCTTGAAAATTTTCACCTGTACACTGGTCTTGTTCTCCATCGCCAGTGTATCCAGGATGACAGGCACATCCGTAGCTTCCGGTCTGCGTTGCACAGGAGCAGTTGGCATGTGAGTCGCAGCAGTTACTCTCCGACAAGCAGAGTGAATTACAAATATCAGAGGTTACGTTGAGGTCCCATGACGTATCTGTCTGATCTGCAAGGACGTGAGACATATGGCATATGATGTAACAGGTCGCCGGTGAAAATAAAGCAACCGTCTTTTGTCGTAACAACTGTTGAAATATTTAGTCCTACCGCCAAGTACTTTCACGGCCAGACTCTCAACATCGGTCACAAGATTCAGCAGGATGACGTGGTCCTCGCTTGGAGAAGTTGCGATGCCGTTCAGCTCATCTATACTCACACTTTCTCCTAGTCCAATGGCAAATATGGTGGATGTGTTTCGCAGTTCTGCCGCCAACTCAAGCAAGATCTCACCATCAGTGGATTGGCCAGCCATCAAAAGAAAAATAATCCTTCATGGGTTGATACATGGGAAGATTAAAGACTGGCTTAGAATTCACAAGGAGGTGGAGATCGGTGGTTCCTGATATCAAAGTAATTTGTCAATCTTTTCTCCTTTTGCCGTCTATCCCAACCATTTGCATTTTAGGGGCCTCTCCATTTTTTGCTAAATCACTGAATTTGTCCTTTTCTTTGGAAATGCATTTCAAAGGTAGATAACACAGATACTCCAGCATGGCTTGGCGTCAAGTAGACATATATGGGTTTGACAACTACAATTATACAGGGCAATTATTACTACAACCCAACCAAAGTAGGCCTATTCCTTTTCTTTCAATTATATATTGGGGAAGAACGTCACCACACAAGTAAACTACATTAAGCGAACTGTGTGAAGAATTGCATTCTGAAGTAATGTCCGATGTGAATTCAGCTGAAACCTTACTTCTGTGTAGACGGCCGAGACCCAGCCAGGATTTCTTTGGCTCTGAGGAGTCCACCTACAATGCATGTTTCCCCGTCTCGGTAGTGGGTCCGCCGTAGATCGGTGTCCAGGAGCGTGCACTTGTTCTTGCCGATCGGGGAGTTGATGTAGTCCAGATCGGTGTAGATCTTGTCGCAGCTGGAACAGGTCACCACCGCCACACGCGACGTCTCTGGAGACACGCTGAACAGCTTAGAGAAGTGCCGGACAAACTGCACCTCGCAGCCGAAGTAACCCTCCCCCACAATGGCCGAGGAGTCGAGGAGGAAGACGATATCTGCCGGCTTGTTCCGGTACCTCTCCAGGACTAGACTGAATTTTCGCCCCGTCTCGATTATCCTCTGCCGGTCTCGCTCATTGGCCATTATCGTCTGGGGACATTCTTGGTATCGTTGTGCCGCGAGCGGCGGACAAAGAACACAACACAGAGCCGGTAGATATATACCAAGTAGCTGGGACAGGTACATGTTTCCAGCTAGTGTCCCGTTAAAGCATCAGTTTCTACAATTCCAATCAAAGTAACATTCCCTGAGGCAGTTGGATATCAATGTAGTGTTCTTTTCTATACCGCCCGAGGAACTGAATTACTGATTAATCTGTGACGTGTCCTGTTAGTGGACAGACTTACTGGGTATTGCACGTCTCTCGACACAAATGCGACGCAGTCCTTTCTGTATACGCAGGACTATGCCATCGGCCATATTACGCGAGCGGACACGGTCCGCTGTGGCTGAGAAATCGATTTACCACCAACTTGGCATTCCTCCCGGCATCCTTCCTTTCTGATGTCTGTTGTGTTAAAGTTCACATCTGCTCTGCACATTTGTTTTCCTTGTTAGTGTTTCAGATCCTGTTATATACATACTTGGGACGTGACCGTGATGTCAACATCTGCAGGAAATCTTTTGCTAAAAATAGCTTTTCATGTTAAGTCTTCCAAGCAAATGCCAATATGCAGACTGTGCAGAATACCAAGTTAGTCGCCCGCAATCTTTGGAAGAACTGTAGACTGTCTTGTCACCCCCCACCTTCGGTTAAATGTTAATTCATTACTGTCTGCCATTTTGGCGCAGCTGCCCTCCATTTTGAATGTCGCTTCCGTGATGTCAGACTTACCTGCCATTTTTACATTTATTCACCTCTGCCCTTTGAACAATGTGCGCGACCCATGATTCTTAACTCAATCCAGCTTAACCATCTCATTTGCATGCAGAGGCGAGATTCTCAGGGATTCTTACGAGATTTACCTTTTTTAGTGGGAGTTGATACCCTTCCGTCTTTCTTCTCTGCATGGAACCTTCCAATTCGAGTTTACTTATAAGACTTGAATACCTAGATTTGCAACCTCACTTGTGCTGCTGAATTCTAAAACGGGAGTTGAACTTTTCGATCCAGGTAGCGGCGATGTGGATTTTAGACATATTTTCTTAATTTAAATCTTGAACCCTTTAAATACGATCTGAGAATAATTATGTGCGTTGCAGTGTAAATATAGTGCATAACCTCCAGAGATGTATGGACTGAACCTGACCTGAGGATTGAAGGGAGTAGTATACAAGATATGAACAAACATTATCAGTTGTTCTAGTTATTCGAGGTTCTCTGTGCAAAGTTTCAAACGTAATCAGTTGAACTGATTAATATTACAAGGCTTAATAGACATCCAGTACATTTTGCTTGCGTGATGCCGTTACTGTGAGATTCGTGTCTGCTCTCGACAAGCGGAGCAGAACCACACTCTTCGGCAAGAAACCTTCAAATTACAAATTTTCCAGGCTTATTCAACACGATTTTTTCATTCTACTTCATGAAATCGGTCCAGGGCAGTTGCAGTATTTAATTTCTTCAACCGTCAGACGATTTCAAATGTCGATCAACCGAATTCGAAGCATGAACATCATTTTGACCGCGGAGTATTCTATTTCGTCTCGCTTGCGCCACCCTGCATTATTCAGAAAACAAATTCATCTCACACATTTTGATCATAATTATGCTTGTACCATTTCGTCAAAACTCTCTGCAACTCAGTAGAATGCATACATCTCGCTAGTGAGATATTCTATCCATTTTTGGATTTTGTTCTAACTGTTCTTCTGTGATTGGAGACATTTGTCGTTTCTTGATGTTGAGAAATTTATGTGTAGGCCATATTCTCTTCGCAGCACAACTACACTCAAATGCGTTCAGTTGTTCACGAGTAAAATGGGAATAATTTACCTTACAAAATTATTAAAGAGACTGGCACAAGACGATTCGATTTCTGAATGCCGCGACTCTGCAACCCCTTGTAATTATTCCTTTGTTTTGAACGTACACAGGGCGGTCATTTACGTTCCAGCCAATGAAACGTTTTGCTTGTCATGCTTGTCATGCTCCACCCACCTAGTGTCATGCTCCACTACAGCCTATTTGACCGTCTTCTGCATCACTCTTGTTAGTTAAATTGTTCGCTTCTTGGATTTTTCGTGATGCAGCAGCTCGTTGCGTTGGCGGTCACAGTTAATAAAGCGGGAAGCTCATACTGAATATAATGGTTAGAGGGGTCCGTGAAAATCGGGCAAATTGCCTGACAAACATTTAAGATATGCAGTTATATGTTAATTGGCCTCTTAACTCTAAACATCTCTTGAGACTGACACAAAAGAGTGGAAGAATAGACCCCAATGGTGTCTCTCTTCTTTGGCAGGGCGTGTTAGCAGCGCCCATTCTCGTAAACCAACGCTGGAGGAACAACCTGTCCTAGCCCTTGAAGAGCTGGGAGCAAAGTTCATTCCCTCGATATTTTGCTCCCATTGGCGGTAGTGCCCTATAGTACACATTTTCACTCACTGAAAACGTTTTTTAGTACCTCTGTTCTGTCACTTTCTCACCACACCTGTGAAAATCTGACGTCCTGCTCTTGTGTAGCAATTGGTTTCCCCAGGCAGGTCAGTCGAAAATGTAAACTTTTGCTGACATGCTTCATGCACACGTGTGGTCTTGAACTTCCCTAGGCCGTAACAACAAAATTGTAACTTCGATTCAAGATTGAGTTCAAACCTCGTCTTAATATTGAGCCTGAGGATTTCTACATACATGACTTTTGTACATGTATCTGCCAAGTTTATATGAAATGGCACAGTGGAGCTCTGAAGAGACGAATAGCAACAACCCCCCCCCGCTTATTTTGAATACATATCGCCTCCATGGACCCCGATGGGCCCCTGTGGTCAACCATGTCATTGAAAACGCTTGCCCACAAGGCTTGACTGTAATGTTTAAATTCTTTAAATTTCCCTATTTTTCCTTATTATAATGTGCATCTGAATTCACTCTATTTTTCATAAAATGAATAGTTCTTACAAGGCCTAAACTAACGAATCACGACAATACCACTGACACCAGACTGGGCCTACTGGTTACCTATCTTTGAACCTCTATCGGACGGGAACCAGTCAAACAGCCGCGCGAACACTGCCACAAAACGTGGCTTTAGGATGGCAACTTTAGCAGAGTAGGCCCTCAAGGGCAAGCAGTTGCGTAATATATAGATTTTCCCGGTAAGTAACGGAAAATATGCGATATAATTTGTAAAATACAAATTCATTTTTGGGCCTAGATTTTGAAAACGCCTTTAAAACCTGGTTTCATTTTCGCAATAACAAGCTTTCGACTTTCTTTTGTATCTTTCAAATTAATGAATGTTAGTTGCGTTTCATTAAAGAAGTTAAAAAAATACGCGTCTGGGATTTCGGACTGACGTATTCCTTGCCAGTTGCAACAAAATGTGTATTCTTATTCGCCAAACATCTGTCTTTTACTGTGACTTTTCGGGTGTAAGTTTCAGTTTTATTTGCTTTAATTCAAAAATTAAAATCCGAAATACTACGCCATCATACGTATGGGTGTTTTAATTGCAAGAATGTAAGTTTATTTACCTCATTTTGTAACAGAGCTGTTTTACCGTAAATATCTTCGGCACATAAAAGTTGCAGGTTCGTCAATTTGCAGTAAACTTCACTTGCTAAAACTTAAAATCCAATATTGAGCATTTGACGAGTAAAAGGCATTATGCATTATGCTTGAGGGTTAATTTTAATAGTGTAACATTTTATTTTCATGTATTACATGATTATCATAATACTGTATGGAATTAAGAGATAAATATTTGCGAATAATTCTTGTTTAAAACCTAGCACTCCATGAGAACCAGTTTTAGCCCCGAAAAATCATTTGCACCAGAAAATATATGTCTAAAGTGTGCTCTTTTTGAAGAAGATTAAAAAGCCTCTGTCTTGCTTGAAATTTAGATTTTATTTAAGCTCACTTACCTGGGCAGTCGCTCGATGACCTAGATCCCTTTGTTGACGTGGTTGTACCTTCCCTACACGGCAAGCAGGCCATTTGCTTGAAGGCCACGGTCGTCAAGTGGCCAGTCCAGACGGTGAGAACGTTCCGGGTTTACACTCCACTGCCGTTGCAAAACAAAAAGCAACGAGTCTATGTCGCCAGTGATTTCAGAATTATTGAGGGTATATCTAGATTGCACCATTGCATATTGTTTAAACATGGAGCGGAGCCACGGAGGAAAGAAGAAACACCAATCTATAAGAGTCTGCTTAAACGTTGAATGTTTACTTTCCCCTTTTTCGAGAGCTAGTGGAGAAAGTCGAAATCTTTCTCCACTGAGAATCGAATCCACGACTTCCTGCAACTGCTCACCGGATAAAAAGTCGTATCTACTCGAAAACTTCTCTTCATCACAGACTTTACAGGTCTGTGTTCTACTGTCATAAGTGCGAACCCATTTCGCAGCTTACTAAAAGTGACATGCGAGAAGTCGGGGTCAAATAGTTTATTCAGTAAAGATCATACATATTGTAACGTACATGCAAGAAGGCGTGCAGCCGTGCACACCAAAATATGTTTGGTGTATCTCGCCAGGTATAAAAGACGGCGTGCACGTGAGGTTTAATATGGACGTTGTCCAGAGAATGATGTCTTGAAATTGTAAATTGTAAGGATTTCCGATCTTAGTAGCTACCTAATATACTTCACTTTTCGCTCTACAGAGCGTGTTCATACTGCATGATTTCATAAATATGTAATCATTATTCTCACTTGCAGGCGTCGTCTGCGACGAAGCCAACGTTTTGTCCCATCGCACTTTTCTTGAAATCCTCCACAAATGCTGCCTTGATTGCTCGCTTAGTACTTTGACGCTGGTAGTGCCCTACGTAGTACCAGTACTGGAGTGCCATGCCCCGTTTGTAACCGTCTGGAGTTGCTCTTTATAGACGCGCAACAAACGTAAATTTACATTCGTGTAATTAAAAATGGACCCTCGGAACGTTTTTATAAGGATGAATTTAACTGTTTTAAAATCAACAATCAGTGGTGGTAACTGCCTTCATACTGTTGACGAAGGTTGGGGAAGACAATGGAAGAATCCTTGATAAACTGCCGAGGGTTACCTTAATTGTCTTGCTTGTCCCTTCACCCCACGCAAGGACTCCCAATTGGCCTTGGATCTAACAATCCAATAAACATTGCAATAAACTCCTTCTCTAAACCACGACCGATAATTGTGTTTTGGTATTTGTGGTACATGAAGTTTATGTCGCTTGTATCCAGAACGAACCAACTTAAAGTGACGGCTACAGCGGATTTTGAAGCCCAAAGCAAATACCGATTGGAAAACCAGCGTTGTC